TGTATCCCTGGAGCCAACACATATTCCAGGAAGTGTGAAGAGGTAACGAGAAAGTTCCGTAACTCCCCGGGAAGGAAGCTATGTGCATGCGTTTTTGTTGCTTATGGGAATGTTTACCGCGCAGTCTCCGCCGCGTGGCCGTACATCTATTTCGACCTCGACACCACCGTCTACTCCAGGTTCAGATCGTTAACGAGGTCATCGATCGCGCACAGAACAGCAGGAAGGCACCAAATATATAAATAGTTTCTTCAGTGCGACCCATCACTTTTTTAGGGGCCCCGCGTATAGTCTTGGTAACGTATCCAGGCGTCGTCATCGCATTCTTCTTGGCAAGCATTCGTTAAAAACGGAGCACAATAAACACAACAAAACCAGAAAACAGGCCAAATGACCGTGTATCTGCATTGCAAAATGGAAGGGAAGGACCAAATTGGAACCTAACTAGGAGCTCGCTCAATGTTCAGACCCCGGAAACGGAAAAACACGAGGGCGCAGTGAACCAAGGGCCTGGGGGCGATGGAGAGGAGGCGGCCTGGGACGAATCGTAACAACGCAACTTCGCACGCATGTACAATCAAGTCCTGCTGCTGCAAGCATTAACACTATAGACGGTGTTTGACCACTTACTTGACCCTTACTGACCAGCCTCTACTCAAGTAGGATATACAGACAAACTTCACACAAGCAATGCTACAGTGGCCAGCAACAACGCCATTGCGCTGACCTTCCACAGCAACCTTTGGTTTATAGCATACTGTGGGGCTCTTAAGGGTGTTGTATATGTTCGACGTGCGCATGCAGTTTAGCATTCACTCTGGTCTTCAGAGAATCTCAGATCATTGCGGATGTTCCCGCATTTAACTCGACTGGGCTGCCACTGACGGCATGGTCACTTCACATGCTGCAAAAGCTAATGCCGATATGTGAGATTTTGCTGAAGTGAATATCTCAAACAAAACGTTTGATATGGTTGTGGGTGAATGCTTATATCCGGAGCATGGTTGCAACGCCGAACGACGGGACGCCGTTGCAACGGTGATGAGGCGCGTACACATCAGTCTGAAGGGTCAGGACGCTAAAACGTGCCGTAAGCCCTACGAGCACTGTGATGCAGACAGACCCCAACAACTTGGGGTACCAAATGCACTAAACGTTTGCACTACAGGGTAGGTGTTAAATGTTGCAGGACGACGGGTTTGGAGGCACGTGATGCTGCTCAAGTTGCATGAACATGTCGTTGTTTTGTTGTTGGCGTGTTCGATAAATACGCTCCATCACTTTCCGCTGTTCGGAGTTAGCGAGAGCAGGATGGTGCAATCTTCTTTCGTTCGTGGTTCTCGTCCCTGGTTTTACCGATCTTACGGCAGCATACACAGGCGGTGGCATTGTGTAAGTTGATATCTTTATATACTTGGTTCTCTAAGCTCGATACATTTGATTATCTGCTTGTTGTGTATTGCATAACTGATGGGGAAAACAAATATCAATTTCTGCATCTTGTTCATTTTGCGGAAATACTTGATGGAAGATGGCCGCTCAGACCGGCGTTACATAGCTACGACAGCAATAATTCACTGTGGACTCGCGCTTTAAGGCTGTTTGCCCGCAACGGTATTAGAGTATGTCGTTGCAGCTTATGCTGCGAAATTCTCAGCGGCGAAATAGCTGGCTTCTCAAGACCGGTACCTCTCTCAGGTGTACTAGATGAGGAGGATAATCAACATTTTATTTTACTTATGCATGGCGTTGAGATGCGCAGGTACCATTCCTTATGCTAAGTTTCTGCTGGCAAAGACTCGAAAGCGGGGGTAAATTTCCTTTCATGTCAAATGTAGCTAGCGCCATGTGACGTACGACGATGTGGGCAAAATGTTTTGCCGGCCACACAGAACTGGACCATTTTAGAGCATCCCGCATCTTTCAACTTAAGGCGATGTCTGTGGTATAGAGGCGTTCTGTGTTGTTTTGGATCTGAACATACCGTTTCTTTGATTAGGTATAGATGATTCTTAAGTGGAGAGCTACGAATCTGGGGCAATATTTCCCGGGCAGACGCAAGAATGTACTCTCTGGTCCTGCTTGGCGTCCTTTCAGCGGCTACAAGTGCTTTCAAGCTGTTGAAACATCGTCCTTTTATGGGGCGCTCTGTTTTAAGGTGACATGCAGGACAATTGTGACAAGGCAAGAGTTAGTTTTGAAAGTATTGGGCTCGTCGTTTTAAAACATACATGAAAGTTTGTCGGAAGGTTTTTCCTTGAGACTGCATTTGGGACATCGCCACTCCACTCTCTAAAGCTTTCGCTTCTTACATGCCACAAACATACGACGTGTCACGGCGGGAATGCTAGCCTCCGCCGAGCTGCTGCATAGCTAGAAATCGATTTACGTTCTGCGTATTTGCCTCATTGCCACGCATACAAGACTTGCAGATTGAGCGAACAAGCCTAGTTCCGAGTTTGTGTTTGTCGCGTTATCACATGGGCAGCACGTGAGTGAGACTGCAAGACGCTCGTGTGGTTACTGGAGATCTGCTGAAGGAAAGCGCTTCTTGGCGGATCTACCCAGCTCAGCGTCACGACGTCTGCTGGGATTGTTAACGTTGATAGTAACTAACAGTAGGTTCACGGCTAGGCCATCCGCCAACCACGCACAGTGGGCATTCAAATTCCTGAATGACAGGTAACTTCCGTATATCGAGCTAGATCGTTGGCCACCGGTCTTTCTGGTATGCCGTCGCTGCTCTTCTGGGAGTCTAAAAGACCTGTCTCACGACTTTTATGAATCGTCGCTGTTTAGTTGCGTTCAACGAATTGATGCTACTGTCTTTTTGTGGAGCATTTTCCCATCTTGGCGTCTGCTGATCCATGTGGATATACGATAGAGAAACACGTTTGGTTGTTCATCGTAGGGTGTCCCTACTGGCATGCAGATTGCAGGCCGCTGCTTGAGTACCCGGAGCGTTTCGGTGCCTTATTCTGAAAAAGAACGAGCTTGCCCTGTGAGACTCGTGCTGGGGAAGCTTGCTTGCGTTGCCCTGCATAGCGTCAAAGTGGGTTTACCAGTCGGTAACTTTGGTGGAATGCCAACCTTAGCATGAAGGCACGCATTCATCGCCAAAGGCGCAATGCCTAGTTCTTCAAATTCGCCTCGATGTTCTCTTGCAAGGAAAAGATAGTGAGAATGAGTGCCCGGTAAGTGGACAGGTTGTTCAGCATCTCCAGTTGGCTAATCAACCTGCAGGCTAGCATTCTAGTTTTGACTGCAGGAGGTCCCTTTCAAATTTGAAGTTGGCAGTGGAGGGCGGCTGACAAAGCGAGCGTAATATATGGATTAGCTGGGGAGTTGCAGAAGAGCGCATGATTTTATCTGTGGATCCGGCTGCAAAGGAGTGCAGAAAAAGGCATTGCGCAATTCAGCTGATAGCGCAGCGTTGAACCGAGCACAAGGCAGGCGTGAAGTGGGACTTCCCACGGCCGACAAGCGTCTTTTATGATGAGTTCTCGAATCGCTTGACGCCTGTAAATCTTGTTGCTGTACACCACCCACTGATGTTCCGTGTTTCTGGCTGAAATATGCACATTAATAGGTAATTGACAGGTATTAGCTGCTATGAACTGGTCGGTAGCCAGCCGTTTTCATACTGGGGCTGGTGCACTCTACCATTGGTGGGAGCCGAGGTGCCCCCTTTCACTGGCTGGTTCTTTCGAGGCTATGGAAACGTGTAGCACGGCCGCAGTCTCGCATCGTAAGTTCAGTTTGTGGCTACTGCTCGATCCTCGGTTGTTTGCTTGTTCTGTGGGAATGCAGCCGTTACTGCAGCTAGCGTTCAGCAGTTAGCTGTCCCCTGGTCAAATACTTTTGCCCTCTGTTTAGTGGCATGCGTATCACTGGTGACCAACCGAAACAAAATATTTGGTTTTGTAAGAGTCAACTGTGCCATCAAGTTGCTGCGTGCACGGAGTTAGCCTCCGCTAAGTTGTGTGGGTGTCGTGTTCCTTGCTTTCCGCCCTAGTTCACGTGTTCGGGGTTCACCAAAGACTACAATGGGCTACAGCCTTTATACTGGTTGTTACCGTTAGTGTGTCGTGCTGTTTTTCGGTGATCGCTTCTGCACATTAAATCGCTATTGTCATCCGCACACTGCCTCCCGGCGGAACCCCGGGCAGCGCTAGCCCCTGGTGGCGCGTAGGTTCACTACGCACTGACGTTAAGCAAGTAAGTTGGCTGGCTCTACCGCACCTGTTGGCTTTGTGTACGAGCCAAAGTTGTCCAATAGTAGCTTGCGGCCTCAGCTATTACACGTTTCTTGGTTGTTTGTTCCCTGGGAGGGCTGGTAATGTTCCCAGGCTGCAGAGGTGCTCTTAGGCTATTACGATGAGTAGCGTATGCTTATGGCTGCGTTGCACTCCTGCGGGAAGTTCTTTGCTTGGTTTGCCTAAAATGACACGAACGAGCTGTCGAGTTGTGGGATACCACATCTCGACAATAGAGGATTCTGCCTGGTTGCCATCGTATAAGTGCTTCGAGCTTGTTACCGTTGTGCGGTGAATCGCTGGTCTTGGCGCTGGAGTTGTACTTCCTCAACCTGCAAGCGTCGCGCATCTGCGTCACCGCACAGCGTGACATATCCCGTTGTTCGTCTTCTGCCCTTGTACTGTTCCCCCATCAGCACCTGCATCATAGAAAGGTTCCCTTCAGAGGCGGCCTTGCTTATTTCAGTTGCCACTGAGAAGGCGGTCGTCCCTCAAGAGTTCGGAGTGCTCAATGATATCAAGTAACAGGTTGCATTTTGGCCGTCCCCTTTTGTCTCAGTTTGAAACCTGCTGCAGCTGCGATAGAGCGCTCTACGCCTTTATCTGTAAGGGGCAGTGCTTGCTTAGCAAAACGCAGCCAAATCTGTCCACGCTATCAGCCCTGTTGATAAACAGGCGCGTAAACGTAGGATGCGTATGCGGCTCAAGCACTCCGGTGTCTGTAGGCATATTGAATGACTGCCTTTAGTTTTCCTTTTTTTCTGTCTGCTCGGAGGCGGAAGAACACGAAGTGTTACTGCCCCCTTCGTCCTCCTCTTTGTATGCGAGCCTGCAACCGCACCAAACAGATGAGAGCAGCAGCAGGAAGACAGCAGCACCGCCATCACCTGTAGCAGCTACATCAAAGATGACAGCCGACTCTCCCCCTCGCAGAAAAGTAGCCAGGAAGGAATCAGTTCTGGTAGCAACGGCAACGGCTGGTACAGCAGCAGAAGCAGTTACACAAAAGGCAGTGACGGTTACAGCAGCAAGAGCACTTCCTGGACCACCTCCACCAACATCTACAGCAGTAGCAGTTACATCACCAGAAACAGAAGCAGGAAATCTACATTTGCACATACACCTCCTTGATCTTTCCGTTGAGTGCTGCGGCTCCAAAGAGGCTAAAGAGGCAATAAGGGACAAGGTAGAGAAGGGCTGGCTGTGGATGCTGTGCGTAGAGCATAACGATGCCTGTAGTTAGAAGGCCCAACTCATAGAAGGAAAGAACCACGCAAAAGTAGAACTTGGGAAAGCGCTGCGGAAAGAGAGATACACGCAAACAGAAAAAAGGACAAAATCAAAGCAGCTGACGGATCATTAGAAAAATAACCAGATAGCTAAGCAAAACGAGGACGCACAAAGACTAAGAGATATAAGCAACGGAATCTGGACAAATGCACAGGACGGCACGAAGAGAGACTGAAACGAATCAAGACACAGCCAGCCGCACCTAATAACCGGAATGAAACACGCAAAAGGCGACAAGGGCGCGGAAGATAAACGCCAGAAAGACAAAACAGCGAGCAGCCCAAATGACTTGCCTGGTGGATGTCCACTGCGAGCGGCTTTGTTGCTGAGTTTTTGTGCTTAAGGTACAAAAACATGTCGAAGCGGAGACACATGGCTATCAGAATCCCTGGGATGACGACGTCTCCCAAGCCGAGGATGCTGTATTGCAGAGGGGACATTTGGACAGGAAACACCAGCTTAGCGGGACCCTCAAAGGCCTGAATTCGCACGCGCGGAGAATAGGAAACGAAGCACAAGCTGATACGGCGATACAATCAGAGCAGATAGCCAAGAGACTGACCAGGCAAAAAAGACTACACACAGAGTTGAGGCAGGCGGATAGAGGCAAGCTTAAGGGATACCATGAACTATTTAGTGGGGAATGGCGTCGAGCTAGAAGGCCGACGGAAGAACACACGCACACACGCAAAATAAAGGAGGGTGTACGGCGGTTGAGGCGGAAAGATAAAATACAACATACACTGAAGCTTATTCTTCCGGTGAAACTGCGGTATATATAAAATTAAAGCAAGAGCAAACGCGGCATCAAGAACGCATGTGACTTTCGAAGCAGAGAAAGGATGGGACAGAAAGTGAGTTACCAACGAAGAGCGACTGGCTGGAACAGCGAGATGAGAACAAGCGACAGATGACAGGAATGCTACGAATGTACAGATGAAAACGAACGACAACTACAGAGAGCCATACAAAAAGGAGGCAGTCGGCAACGAAGAAAGCACACTTGTCTTTCGTAAAAGCCGTCGAGATGAGCCAAAAAGGCCATACAGAGCCATATAGAGCCCATGCAGAGAGCGAGGCACATCAAGTGGCAGCACCCGAGAGGTAGCGGCGAACTGAATGAGTATCAGCAACGGGAATCGGCACTTTTTCAAAGCATTCAAGGCAGTCGATTTAACGGCATCTCATTTCTCCTTTCTCGCCTACCTTCGCTACTGAGACCATCACCTCTGTCCCAAACACCCAGACCACGTCGTAGACGAAAAGACCGCACAGCAAAATGCTCGCCACGCCGAAACTCCGCACGCTCACTAAAGCTATTGCCTGCAACACAAGCAGCTCCATCCGCAGTGAGAGAAGTAGCGGCAGCCGCAGCAACAGTCAATATGTAGCTGCTATACTTGGCCTGGTGAAAAACATCTCACGACATTTCTGCGTTCCAGCAGCAGCTGCAGATGCCGCTATGTGCTACTGCAGTAGCACATACGGAAGCGAATGCTACCACCGGGGGTTACGGTGTGTGCCGTTCAACAGCACACCGAAGGAAGAAGGGAGCTTGTACAGAAAACGACGAGACACGGACAGGGGGAGAGGACAGAACAGAGGCAACAGCGACAACCCCTGAGACGGGTAGTGAGAGAACCAAGCAGTGGACAGATACCTGGATGCAGAATGCGATGGCTAGGATGTTGTGTAGAGCCCAATGTTTTGTTAGGAGCCACAAAATACAAATAGCCACGGCGACCAAATGAGAAATAATCCAAAGAGGACTGAACCGCCAACTCCAATCAACAACCGCTTTAGGTGCCTGTTGTTTCTGTTCTTGCTGCTGCTGTTCTTGTTGCTGCTGCTCTTGCTGCTGCTGTTCTTGCTGCTGGGTTTGCTCAGGAGGCATTCCCCCATTCTCCGGGGGGCCGCTAAGCCACTTGCGGACACAAAGGAAGGGCCCTCTGGGACGGATGACCATCCAGCTTTCATCAAGCAGACGTGGCGGGCACAGCGGCCTCTGTGAAGCAAACAAAATCCCAAATCCTACACTGTCAACCATAAAGCATAAGCCTTAAATCACTCAGTTCTAGAGCGTAAAGTGGACAGCAAAAAACACACGGGTTCCGAAACAACCACATAACACGTGAACCAGTGAATGAGGCGCAACAATGGAGCTTCACAAGCAGATAGACGTAAGGTGGTGATGACAAAATAAACGGATATGCCTCTCCGCACAGCTAATAGAGACGAGAGGACCAAAGGCAGCACACGACAAAGCGTAAGAGATACACACCGGTGAGATCAGCGCACAACGTACAGAAAAATACACGCAAGGATAACAAGGAAAATAACGGAGAAGCTATCTTACGCATAGCTTATACTGCAGACAGGATAGGTTTGACAATCAGCACAAAAATCGAGTAGCCAGATAAGCCGCAAAAGCAAAAAAAGAGGCAGCATACAAACAGTATCAACACCCCCTCGGTCCGATGCTGCTTACAGCCACTGCGAAGATTGTCTCCCCCAATGCCAGCAGGCCCACACCAGTCAGGTAAAGCGTAAGCAGCATATTCACCCAGACTGTGCCCAAGAACTTGTAGGCGAGGTACCTGAAGAGACAGAAACACCCAACTGTATCTCCTAAATCCTGGAGGTGTCCGTAATCCTGCAGATTCAACAACCCCAACCGCCCAACCGCCCAACCGCCGGCACATATATATACTTTGGGCATAAATGCCTAAATGATAGTCCATCAAAACTAGACCTCCGTCCACAGAAAGTAGCAGTACCGCATAAGCATAAAGTCTCATGACCTACAAGCTAAAAAGGGCGACTGATCCGAAGATAGGGAACAGCATGGCATCTGTTCTATTCATGGCCTCTCCCTTATTGAGCTTCTCCCCCGTAGTTGCATCTACTTCGTTTTGCTTGAGGGACAAATGACTGCCGACGTAAAGTATGGGGGCAGTATACAGCCCCATCTGCAGTAGGACAGGGAGGGGTTTTATCCATGGGATCACCATGACGACAGCAAGACAGACAAAGCAACTGTAAAACAATGTTAGAGATAAACGGCAGCTGCTGTTACTGCTGCTGCTGGCACTGTTACTGGAGCTGCCGCCAAGTGCAGATGCGGCAGAGGCAGCAGCCGTGTCTCCCGCTGTTGATGCTGGCATCTTAAGGTTTTTCCACTGGTGTTGAGGTGATAAAAAGATGAAATTAACAGGAGATAGAACAATTTCAACAGAAAAGGTTGCAGCTCCGCCTTGGGGTTCTAAACAACACGGCGCGGGGGGCCCCACCGCCCTCCTGGAAGGGGTCAAGGGGTGAGCTGCTGTGGCATGGAGTTGCTTTCCTCACTACTTTCGGGCGAGCAACATGTTTGCCGAATTGCCTTTTCTATTTTCCATGCTAGAAAAGTTCGGCATTAACACCCAGAGTCAGTACTCACTGCTGGTCAGTGCGGCGCTGCGGTCATCCTGGTGAATTCGTTCCAGTGAAGACTCGCTTTATTTCCTATACACTGCTTTTTATGAGACTAATTTATACTTCAATGTGATTTTCTTGTGCGTACGGAGGTTGTGTAAAGGACCATTTGGAGCCTGCATAGCATGGTCTGTCGGATGTCGGCATATGTAGCCTGGTCTTCCTGGTGTTAGCACATGAACATTCCCTTGGGCTCGATAGGCTGCGTGCAACAAAATACAAATGCTCAGTAAATGTATACAGAGTCAAGACATGCAGTAAAGGAAGCTTCGTTGTGCTCACACGCGAAGCTGGTATCCATCGCTAGCTGCACTGAGGTGCACTGCAACTCATGTCAAGCTGCTTTCTTCTCCGCAACTCCAGGCTCTGAGCTGCTGAGACCGGGCTGCCTGGAGGCAGAAGATGGAGTGCAGTCGGACCTTCTCAGGTCTTGGGATTTACTGCAGCTCACGAAAGTCCTTGAATAGGGATGAGGCTCTCCGGTTACAGTGTATGTACTAGTTTTGTGCAGGCTGACTAAAGGACACGTTAGTGTTCGTCGATTTTCTGCAGTGTTAGCGCATGCGGCAGAGATTGCTTGACCTTGCCTGCTTGTGCCTTGCACCATTAATTGCACCAAGGTGTGCTGGAACCCACATCAGGCTACGTGGTCTCGCACGAGCTTCAGGTCCGTCGGTCGCTGTGCGTAGGACACGCCAGGACTGGAGCGGAGGTCAGCTGCTTCTAGGGGCCTCAGTTTCCGCCGGCGGCGGTCCTCGGGTGAGATCGTCAGCTCTACCTGCACCCTGCTACAGTTACACTCGTTACATCATCCGTTTAGGTTCTACGGTCAAGCGCTCACGGTTTTACTCTAAAATCGTAAGGCGTATGTTCCAGGGGCTTAAAGTTTAGTCTACGGTTTCGAATAGTGCCTAACTCGTATGCCGGTACGTCCTTAGGTTCCCGATAGCACCAGGCTGGTCCTTCGCCTTTGGAGGTCTCTGCCCTAGGGTTTGCAAACAGCCTAATTGGCCTCATGGGCGACATGCTGGACAAGGAAGGTTAACAGCAGCAAGAAAAAAGACAGCAAGACAAAAAAGGCGGCAAGACCAGCGGCATCAGTAGCCCAAGATGGCAGCCAACTGGAACCGCCGATACAGGTCTGGAGCCACCGATGGAACTCCCGGACTCTTTCAATTGGGTACTCTAACCAACCGCCGGCGCTGGCTCGTAGAAAAATATTCGGCCCACCACAGTACCCAACCTGCTTCCAGCATCATTTATGCTTCCATGCCTTCCTCACAGTTGTCCCCTCATCTATGCTTTCACCAGCTACCTCCGTTTTCTGCTCCTCTTTTGTCTCCTCTTCATGGCCTCTTCCCTGTGGAATTATAGCCTGTTCTCCATGTCGCGGTAGAATGGCAGGCGGGTTAAATGCTGTTTGTAGCAGAGCTACAGCAGCAGCTGCTGCTGCTGTAGCGGAGCCAGCTGCTGCCGCTATTGCAGCCGCTGCTTCCGGTACAGGAATAGCCAAAATGCAGCCAGCTACATTACTTTTTTCAGAATCGTTCAAGCTGTCCCACATTGGCGCCTGATGTGGTTGTCACCATTGCTGTCACGGTTGCTGCTGCTGCTGTTGTCACAGGCGCTAGTGCTGAGTGTGGACAGTTCCGTTGTGACGACTGTAGTGCACGTTGCTCTTGTTTACTATTCACTTTTTGTGCTTATTAGGGGGGTTATGGTCTCAGTAGCTAGCTAGGGTGAGCGCAGCCACGACAGTCCTATTATGAGGCACTAACACGGAAGCAACAGCAAATAATTCCCGTCCTACTCTCTTGAGTAGCCCCGCTTCCTTCAGTCTACTTCTGTTTGTCTGTGTGCCTCTGCACCCGTTTCCTTTCTCTCAGTCGCTTCCGGCTCTGTCACTCTTTCCCCCATGGCGCAGTGATTCTCTGCATACAATGAATGCTAACTCCCCTCTTCCTACTAACCCGCTCACCCTCATTCCGTATGCTATTAAATCCTATCCGATGCACCCTGCTCCTGCAGCCTTAGCCTCTGCTCTCCACAGGACAAACGGAAAATACATACATTAGGGTTGTTCACGCGAATGCTAACAACCATAATGCATCTATTTGCCGTTTGTCCCCGTGTGTTCGTATCCGCCTATTCACCTGCTTATCCTGCTTACAACCCTTGCCCCTGCCTGGGTGCGTAATTCACCCTTGCGGTGTCTTCATCTGTCCGTCTCCACCGCCTGGGGCGTCTCCTGTGTACCTCAGCTCTTACCTCCATATGCTGTTTTCACTATCTAGTGTGCACTCTCTGTATGTTTCTGTTTCGCTTAGCTCTTTAACTTGGCCCCTCAGCTCTGCACCGTGTACTGCTTGTCACTCATACTTCGCCTCCCCGCGGTTTGTCTGTCGCTGTCTACGCAGCTACTCGCCTGGTCGTGTATTTGCTTCGTCTGGCGTTAGGATGTGTTTGCATCTGCGTCTGAGCTCCGGCGTCATACTCATTTCCTCTCCCTCTCATTGTCTGTGAGCCTGCAAGCTTTTCAGGGACCTCTTGAGCAGGCGTCTCATCTCTAGGAGAGCAATGTAAGCATGAGATGTTTAGTTGCGAGAGTCATGCCATGCAACTTCGCTTTGATTCCTTTTGAACCTTGAATAGCACACACTCGCCAGTACATCTGGATCCTGAGGACATACACCCGCCAAGCCATTCGAATACCGCGTGGTCGTTCCGTTGGTTTCTCTCTCTACAGACGGCTTGCGCCCGCTTGCCTTTGTCTCGAGGTCGTTCCCAACTGTAGTTCCTGCAATTTCGAGCCTGGTGTTTGCCCATCAGGCTGGCTGCCTCCCCTCAAATAGGAAATTGCTGCACCGCGCATGCTTCAGAGGTTTATTTATTCATTCATCACAGCACCTTTGTGGCTTCTACTTCACCTCTTGTAATTTTGCCTCCACTCTGCATGTTTTCCCGCTTTTCTGCAGAGTGTATCCACACTTCAGATTTGAGTAGTGATTGCATCCCATAAGCTGGTCACCCTCCCCCTTACGCGCCATCTCCAAAGCCAGTCCTTCTCCAAGTCTCCTTACGTTGCCCCTATGATTTGTGTTAAGAGTTGCAACCCTCAATTGGGAGGAGCTTTAGTACACGTGGATGCATCTTGCTGCTAAAACTGGTCACACTCGAACAGTTACACCTGCCGGTGCACCAGTTCTGCTGTCGTTGTAGTCTGTACTGCTCCGGTGGTAGCTCGTCTTGTTGCCCGAGCTGCCGCTGCCACTGCTGTTTCTACCGTTGCTGCTGCTGCTGCAGCTACGGTTGCTGCAGCCGCAGCTGGGGCATCTGGGCTGCTGATGCTGCAGCTTGCGTCATCGACGAAGGCGCGGTGCTGCTAGTGCCGCGTGTTGACTTCAATAAAGGAGCAAGCTGTCCGCTGCGGTATCAAAATGTTGGCCTGCCTCTGCCTGCTAGTCGACAGGTTTACTGGAGAGATATCGGGACTACTCCACACCCTTCGTTCTCCGAATATAAGGTGAAACAGAAGTAACCAGCTGTGAGTTGCCTTGACAACCTTCCAATTGAGTCAAAATGTGAAGCCGATCACAAAGTGCGAGCACATACACTTTTTCGAGCTGAGTACGAATCCGTAGGTGCTACTTCGTTGTAAAGCGTCTGGAAACGGAGCGCAAAAACACACAAATCCTGCTCAATACAAGCTCCATCGGCACTTTAAACAGTACAGACTGCAGATACATGCCTGACACATGCATGCAACTCCACAACACACAAGACGAATGCAAGCAACCCTTAATGGTGAGACACCCATATTTGTACGTATACAGCAGCCCCACTAGTGGGCGGCGCAGTTACTGCTGGTTGCTCTTTATCGAAGCCTCGTAACTCCTCAGCAAGCATCTCCCAATACTTAGCGGGGAGAAGCATCGCCCACGTCCGACCCCTTACGCTGTTGTCACTTCCTGCTCTAATCAAAATTAAGCCAAATAAAAGTCCCCGCTGTGCCCTCTTGCATGGTTTGCGCTTACTGAGAACAACCCTCCTACTGTCCTCCCCAATACAATCGGTACGCTTGATAACAAGGAAAAATACCTGGTTCTACCAGTCCCTCCGGTACCAGCGGTGAAGCTGTTCGCACCGGTGGTGTAACTACCAGGCATGGAAGTATGTTTATATGCGCTCCTGATGGGAGTTAGGCATTCCACGCATTCTGTAATTTGCTGACTTGACTACGACCCCAAAGCGTCAAGATAGAAATACTGATGCAATGTACATGTATATTCCTCCCCCGCATGCCATTAGTACTAACCACACTAAAGAGGGAGCAACAGAGCACGAGAACGACAGCAACGCAAGTACAAAAGTGATCGGAAAAAGAGCGATGTAGCGTATGTGTGTACTCGCGCGCGCACGCGCATTCCCACAACAAGTGACCCTCGTTTCAGTTCTTGTTATTCTCCAACTTTACCTCCCCCACACGCGTTCCCTGTGCAGCAGCCTCCCTACAATTCACCTCCCCGGTACGCTTCTCCTGCCTAGAACGTTTTATATATCTCAGCTGCCCAGCGTGCACCTCGTACCTCTCTACCTACAACGTACTTGCGTGTTCCGGTGCCCAGCGCTGCTCTCCTCCTAAGGTGCCCTGAATAAGCCTTGCTTGTGCCTTTGCCAAACAGACACCTACTCAGCTCATTCACCCAGAAGAGCTCAACTTTGCCTGCTGTGATTTGCTTCCTCATTGGCAAACACCAAACGTCACCATTCACGAGCGTTTAGAACCGGCGGAGTAACGAAAGTTACAGCAAAAAAAACCGCACTCACTAAAGTAGATACGGTTAGTAGTGAACGCGCAGAGTACCGTGCCTAGTAGAAGTGGACGCTCACACGTAATTGCCGCATGTCTCGACACCCATTTTGCGAAGTACAAACATGAAAAAAGTGGAATAATCCTGGCAACTGACCGCTCCCAGTCGCCATTCGACAAAAGGCCCATTGGCGATAGCAACGTTCTCTGGCGTGGCCACAGGCCGACCACATTGGCTCGGATCTTCGTCTTGCCTTTCGTAGGCGCTCTTTTCGACTGTAGCTCATTTCCCGAAGTCGCCCAACTGCCTTTCCCCAGTACGCCACAATTATGAGGCAGTTCTCTTCTTTACGGAAGTGCGTCCTTCGCTCAGTAGATCTCCGTTTGTGGCGGAATTATCTCTCTCCAATCCGCTTCGACATCTTCGCACAACTCGTCGAGGTGCTTCCATACCTCAGAACAAGAAATAGTACGCCTGCCAGCCTGCGGGGGAGGGCCGTCATCGAATGTAGGCGCCTCCTGCAGAGGCACAAATGCACCGATTGTCGCTGACGTGCCCCGCTCTCACTAGTGTCCGTCTACTGCATGTGATTGTTCACTGTAGTTATTTCACAGCCAGAGTTGTCGTTAACGCACCAGCGCCCAGCTGTGCGCCTCCATGAGTAAACTGCCCGCCTCCTCCATATGCCCCGTCTGGCCCCCACAAGAAAGGCGCCCCCAAGACCTGCACCAAAGTCGCCTGCGCGGAGCAGAACAGAAACTCTACACTTGGCTAGAATGTGCACGAAACTAACTACGGCAGGCGGACGCCCTGGCCCTTCTAGTAAGGAGTCACGAACGTCGTCGCCTCTCCAGATGATAACGGCTTCCCCCTCCGGGAACTCGGACGGATAAGCAAACTCCGTGTTACACAACAGGGACCCCCGGTGGCATGTAGTTTTGTTATCTTCTTCAGCCGTACACGAGATGCAAGATCACCTACCTGCCTAGCACTCTCCTTGCGGCCGACTGCCTGGTAGCTCGACCCTCCAGCTACTACGTCAAAAGGCCAAGGAGAGCCTGACCTAAGTATCATGCAACTCCACCGCACCAACGCCTCTAAATATCGCCTTATGTCCTCAACGGTGACGAAGAATACACCCCAAAAGCACTGTCGGCAAGAAACTGGTTGGCGTTTCGACATTTCGCCTACTCGTGCATGGGGGCAAAAGCCAACCGGTGTAGCCACCACACTAGTCCATGAAGGCACATTGCGGAAAGGCGCCTTCCCATCTTCTTTGATAAGCAAATTGACTTTTCGGGGGTATTCTGGGCTATCGTTTGCACGGCGCCCGGGTCCTTCTATGACTTGTTGACTGGGGGTAGGGTGACATGGCTTGGATATCACGGGACTTCGTATAGGCACGCTGGTGAAGTGTGCTCTCCCCTTGTCCAGGCGCGGAAGGTACACCTTACGACGGCTTCCTTGTAGACTGGCTATCCGACCAGCCACTGCAGCTCCACTTCGATTGTGGCAGCATCCCCCTGTGCTGGTAACTTTGCTTTTGTTTCCAGTACCTGCTCCTCCAAGAATCTGTGCGCTCAATCTCTGCCACACTGTGGCCTCGCTATCCTCCTCTTCAAGGCCGGCTGCACGGTGACTCCAAGCACCTCCCCCCCGACTGAGAAGTCGACCACTTTGTCCATTCGCCGCAGCCTGATGGATGTGGAAAGCCTTCCCAATGTTAGTAATGCTGCCATGGCCTCCAACCGTGGCTCCTTCCAGTATGTATGACCTGCTCTGGAAGGGAACCGCACGGGTCGCCGCGAGGGAAGCTACAGGGCCGCCCGCCGCTGCGCGAAGTGCAGTGTTCCTTAAAGATGTATTCGCGGAGCTCGATAGCGGCAGCGACGTATGTGCCCCTATACCGGGCTCTATAATAGTGACGTCCCCCCATGCAACCTTCCCGGGGATGCGTCTTCCGCCGTCCCTCCCGTTTCTCATCAAGCCCGTCATCAAACAGGTGATGGACTGTTCAAGATATTTTACGCTGGGACCTACTCGTAGCCCCCACAGAAGGCGAATAAAGAATGTTAGGCAGATGACCGGTCAAATTACAGGTGAAGGCGCAGTAAGGCGCTGCGTGCAGTATGTGCGGGGAAGTGAGGGCCAGTGGCGTCTCGCGTGCCAGTGGCATTCCTCCACCCCCCGCTTCGTCACAGCGAAGCCTCATATACACCTGTTTTCACTAACATGCCTGACTATTCCCCTCGTTTAGAATATTCAGAAGCAGATTCAGGGATATATTTACTTTCAAGTATGTGCTCTTCGTGAGCAGACGCATTGAGGGACCACTGGGTACGGCCCGCTGACCGCCCTCTGTAGATGGCCAACTACCACTGTGCCCTACTGCTTTTCCCTCGACTAAGAACATTAGCGTTCTCGAAAGAAGTATTTTCATCCATCACTATAACTGTAAAAAGGATAAAATGTAGGTTAGACATGTTGCGTAAGTAAGTACTAACGGCCGGGGCCCATCGATCTTCCCGCGCAGGGTGCCTGTGCGTGGCCTTTCGTTACTTAGTAAGTATTGTACCGCTGGAGGGCAAGTGGAAAGCTCTTGAGAAGATGTGTGTTCATTTTCGCTAAGGTATTAAGATTTCCTGATCGTTCGACGAGCATCGCAAGCGGAACTTCTACTCACCTCAGCTGTTTTGTCGGTGGCCGTCTGGATTCGTGCGGCACCCACGCAAAAGTTTGTTTCAGCTCATGTAAATAAAATAACCGGCAAACTAACTATCCACTATCCGGTTCAGGCATCACTTAGCGGCCAAATAGGCTGGCAGTTAATGGTGACACTACGGGGTGACTCGGTTTCTTCCCGAGACGAAGCGGTCTTTCTATCACGTTGTTATTAGGCAGAGTACCGCATGCTGGTGGGAGATTCGGCCTAGCCTAAAGCTTTCCATACTGTGATGAAAAGGTTAGTGGCTTGGGGGGGGGGNGGGGGGGGGGGGGGTCGCGCAGCTTAGGCTCACACGGCATTGTATCCAAGGCAGGTGCTTGCTGGCATCAGCCTGAGTACGGAAATTCTGCTTAATATTATGCATAATGCATACTTAAATTACAGTAATGGGTATAAGCACTATACATTATTAGATATGCACATATATAGACGTATATGTACATGAGAAGTGTCCGCGACATCTTGCATTTCAACAGGTAGGTTTAGCCCGCCAAGGCTTACTCCTATGACACAAGCAGTCAGTTTCCCCCTACGGTGTGCTGAAAACTAAGAAATGTTGGGTCTGTGCGAACTCTGTTGAATATCATCTCTATCGCAGTGTGACCTTGACAGAGACAACTGCAATTCACAACCACCGCGCTGTACATCCCTGCAGAACTTATTCGTGCAGTCTGCTGACCTAAATTTGCTCCGGCGTATGAAAATAACATACTTACTCCGTATCCAACGTGAATATCATAAAGCGGCAGAATCAGCACATTGTGACTAGTGAACCTCGTACAGTGATACAAACCGATAGCTGGGATGATTGAAAACCTCCGAACGCTTTACAACTCCGGTTCGACTATAGAGTCTTCCAGTCAGATGCATTAGACCGCTTTCCTTCCGGAATCTTACTGACTGTATTCTAACATTTTAATTATGCCTTTAAGAGAAGCTGGTACAGCCTGAGCTTCTATGGTTTGAACCATTTGTTAAGATGTGACTAACTACCAACCGACGGACACGTCTTATTCTTTACGCTAAGCATCCTCCGTATAGTATTCTATAAGAGGAATGTAAGAGGCAGGCGGCTAAGTGTGGAACACAACACTTCATTTCAAAGTGCAAGCTCTTTTGGGGGCTTAGACTGCCACGCGATGCTGTAGTCCTGCTTTCTATTCCATCATCTGTTGGACATGCAATTGATCGTAGTCGAGATCTCGCACGATAAACGTAAATGACTTGTTTTTGTACGCACTTCCCGTCCCTGCAACCGATCGGATGGTCCTGTGGTTTCGTCAAACTAGCCAGCCCGATTTTGGGGCTGTCCAGGAAGTTGCATAAATAGAGCCGTCTAAACGATGCAAAAGTCGAAACAGTTTCCGAATGTCAACCTGCGGAAGCACCGTCCACGGCTGCATCCGCAGGAGCTGCGTTTTACCGCCTCGTCGCTCAGGATTGCTGCTTTGCAGCATTCTGCAAGGGCCTGTCTGGTGGAGAGTAGCCGCGACTGTGGGGGCACAAATAGTATCCATAATCTACTTGCCAACTACATTTCTTTTTCAATCTCCAGGCATTTCTTATCTTCGAAACAGTTCACTAATTATGCACAAATTACATTGCTCTAGGTGTTGCTAGCCACGAAAAACTAGATATTTACTATGTGCGATTTGCCTGTCTTTTCTCTGTTGCCGGTATATTGCTTTCAGCATAAATAAGCCCCTGGATTTCGTGTGGATGCAGTACTTTATTCTTTGTAGTTATGAAAGCATGGTAGAGATTTTGAATATTCTTCAGCAATTATTCTAGAGACATTAGATGCAGCGTTCCCTAGGGTTCCTCCTGTACCATAATTATTAGTGTCAACTGCACCGGTCCTAGCTAAATACCTCGCTTATCCCTGGGCGTAGTTCAGGTACTGCGTGGACAACATATCGCGCAATGAGCGCCCTTTTCTCGAACATTAGTAGATTTAATTGCAATTGGTAGAGCTCTGCCTCGTATCTCTAGATTCATGTCTTCCTTTAGATACGTTAAAGAGACGCAGTCCGTGAGAAGGCGAGAACACGTACTTGACGACAGATAAGTGGCTGAACAGAAAACGATTCCAGTTTTGAGCAGGGGAACTCCCGTAACTAAAGTAAATAGAGAAAAGTAAAGGCTGACCTCGCAGTTAAAGATGAAAGCCATCTGCAAAAGTCGATGAAGATAATACCACATCGAGATAATTTGGTAGTGGGACACTTGAAACAGAGAATAGCTGGAAAACGCACGGATAAGTCTTTAATAGACGTCAGGCAATTATGGGCAGAGTCCATCCACCTACCCAATAGTACAAACCGAGACCAAGCGCTCTATCCCAGCCTGCTTCAAAACGTCAGAACTTCACCAAACACTGCAGATAACGGAATTCTTCTCCAACAGAAACTACTAGAAATCTGTGTATGTAGTTGGCGTCTAGACCTTAAAATCATTTGTGCCCCAGCAGGCTGCAAATTAGCAGAAATGTATTCTATTGTTAGAAGCTCTCCCAGGCCACTTAGCAGACAACATACACTATAGCTCTTGGTTAAAGCTAGGAGTGTCCTACCTTCCACTCCAAAAAAGGCTTTGATTCTCGTAATTACACTGCGCAATGCAAAACTCGATCGTCAGCGCTTCCTTGCGGAAGGAAGCGCTGGCACCCAGGCAGCCAATCCGGTGATACTCATTTGGCATAGAGGCTCAGCCTCAAATTGAACTTTGTACTAAATCTTAAAAGCAGCGACTACAAAATTTAAACTATGGAGCCGTGGTGACAACAACCAAAATGTTAGCGCATGTCTTTAAGTGTTATGTCTCCTAGAAAGACTCTACAGAAAACCTGAAATATTCATGCATATTTCCATTTAATGACCACTTACCACTTGCCGCTGCTGTAACTCCAGCAGGAAAAGAGAACTCCCTGATAAAATAGGGTTATTCGAATATCCCACATGCAAGCATGCGGCTATTGCTACTGCTGCAGCTCCTGATGCGACTTCAAGCAACCAGGGCAACTTGCAGCCGGCCGTGGCTGGCAATAAAACTGCGGTTTATGCACACCTCTAGGTAACTTTGTACTTCCCCTTGCGGATACGTCGAATTCGGTATACGCTATCTAAATACCTTCCGCCGTAGACGACGTTGTTACTGCAGCAGCTGCTGCTGGTGCTGGTGACGTCGGTGCCGGGGTAGGCGCCCCAGCGGCAGTTGCGCCGATGGGATCGGGAAGAAGCTTAAAAGACTCCAGAGCCTGCAAAGCTGCCATCCTCCGATAACGACGAGGTGTGCAGACGGTTGCGTCTGACGGGTGGCACGTCTCACTCGAAGCACCAGCAGAGACAGTAGCTGCAGCAGCAAGAGCGTTTGCTGCTATACCGCCGCTGGGTGGATGGATAACTCCTGTATTCACCGCATCCAATACCCTTCCCTCCCTTCTCTCTCCTTGTCCCTGCAGTTGTTCGAAGGTTGCCGCACTGCCGTTACCTACGCCATTCGCCCCTCCAGCAGCAACGTCTGGAAGGGCAGCACCAGCTGTTGCCCCTGCTGCTGGCTGTGGCGTAGTCTCCTGTTTCGAAACTGAAGACGAGTCGAAGCTCAAAGGCCTGGAGCAAGGCCTCTTGCTGCCACTGCAGGAACTATACGCATCGACATGTGCTCGTTCCCGAGGTGGGATGCTACCTCCTGAAGCTCCTTCCGCCGTCATTGTCACTGATGTTGCTGCTGCTAATGGCGGCTCCGAAGGCGAGCCTCTTGGTACAGCGCCAATTCGCGAAGTCTGTTGAGGCAGCTTCGCGCCATCGCTGCTGCTGTACGAAACACTGGTTGCCGGCTGCTGCTGTTCCATACTTACCTGTCCCAAATTGCTGCTGTTTCGGCTGCTGCCTGATTCCCCAAAACAGTGGGCGTCTCGCGCGGCTGGTGCATCATTTGAGCCTGCGAAAGGCAGCTGCTGTGTGCGTGCAGCAGAATATGCACCGGCTCTCCGCTGCAGCTGCAGCTGCACCTGATGGCGGGTTGCCAAGAGAGGCTCGGCGGAAGAAGCCGGAAGAAGGTCTGTATCGAAACCCCACATATGCCTACAATCTGAATGCTACACCGTAAACTAAATATCGCGCTGTTAAGTTTCACAATCGGCCATGGTCACTTCTGGGTCGTTTCGTACTGAGCAATCAACACCCGTGGCTGCTCTGTTCAATGCGCTCTACGAAACGGTTGGGCACACTTTGGTTGACTGGCTAGCTGACCCGGTAGCTCACTACGCATGCTATGGTCAATCGCTGAGCACACTGGAGATGCTACCCACAAAATAGTGAGGAATATCTGACTGTCTAGCTCGCTGGCAAACTGCCTAGTTAGCTTCACGCTGTGCTCTATGGGACGTGAGGGCTCAGTCGCTTACCACACGCATCGAGAACAACCACGCGGTGCACAGGAACAGGGCTAAGGGGCTCAGAGTCATCTTCGTTTATTTTGAGGCCTCCATAAGAGAACACCCGGCCACCGACATGCCACGCCTGGTGGCCTACAAGCTGCAGCAGCAGCAGCACAGAATGCAGAGAAGAAAGCACGTGGTATGCTCTACACGCGATGCTGAAGCACCAATTTGCACTGCCGGCAGTCGCGCATGAGAGCGTCTGCGGAATAAACAAAAATGAAGGCAGGTTTGGCAGCCTGCAGCAGCAGCGAAAGAAGCACTGTACGTACAGCAGAAATAGGCGCATGGGGAAAGGCTATACTCCGGTGGCTTAGAGCGTCGTGAGAGACAATCGGGGATGCGACGGCGCAGCTGCAGCAGAAACCACCATATCCACGGCAAGCACCTTAAACATCCAGCAGCAAAGGTGAGCAGTCCTGCAGGAAGAGCGCACAAGAAAATAGCTAGTGGGTCCGAGACAGATAGGCGGACAGAGAGATCAGTGAAGACAGACAAACGCAAAGAAAATTTGCTTACGGTGCAGCTCCGAGGCGGATCTGAAGACCGCCTGATAGAAGCAATGACGAACCCGCACACACTGACGCTGCAACATACAGCACCAGCAGCACCGGCACCCAACATGAAAAGGTCTAATTTGTGGCATCAGCGCCATTTAACAGCAACGGTCCCATCAAGGCGTAGATGCAGCCCGATGGCTGGCAGCAGGTCCGGTAACAGCATCGGCAGCGGCAAGAGAAGCAACGACAACGCCAAAAGGCAGAAGCAGACGGTGACAAAATCACTGGATGTGGCGAAAGTGAGGACGGCCTTGCCTACCATGCATAAATCGTCTATCTGCCGCGTTCGTGACCCGCACTGGGAGGATACCCTGTAAAGACACAAACATAAGCCCTTAATGCTGCTGCTAGTTCCCTCATACTTAATGGTCACACCACTGCTCGTGGTGCTGCTGCTTTTTTACTAAAACTGGTGGTGCTGCTGCAGCTCCTTGGGACTGCCCTTCCTACATAAACTGCCTCAGCTACCTCCGCCGTTGCTATTCCCAGTACTACATCTAGGGCATGCACTGGCGCTTCATTTGCTGCTGCTTCTATCGCTCCCACTTCTGCTGCTGTTGCTGGCCAGACGCACATGTCTCCAACGTCCCTTTGCATTTCTGTGGAGGGCATAAAGACGAGCGCGTGGAAGCACCACAGAAGTCCAACCTCCGCCGATCACCTGCAGCAGCCCCACAAGAAATACTCTCGCAACGCGAACTGTGCAGCAGCAGGAGCTGCAGGAGAGCCACCAGCAGTACTGGCAGCACCAGCCGAACCACGCTCTCCAGCAGCAACCCAAGCACGAAATAAAACAGCAGAAGCAGCAGCCATGCGTACAATGCTGCAGGATCCGTCGCCTGCGGATGTGAAAAAGACGCTGCACGAATGTAGAAAGCGTCCGGGGGGCTTCAACGGTGACGATGAGAAATCCAAAGTAACCCAAGACAAGGCGGCCTCTCCTGTTGTTGCTGCTGCAGCTGTAGCCTCGCCTGGCATCGATGCTGACTCCACATTTCCAGAAGCAGCTCCTGATGCTGTCACTTCGCTTGCTGCCGTAGGCCTCACCACTCGTCTCCAATCAAATATATCTAGCAGCCACACGTCATTCAACAACCGGCCCCTGTTACAGTAGCAGCACAGGCGGCACAGTGCAGTGACTAGCGTGAAGTCCAGGAATTTCCATCAGCAGCAGCAGATCCTGTTGCTGCATGCGCAGCAAGAACAAGGACAGCAGCGCTGCCGACAACACCGAAGACGACGGAAGCCGCATCAGAAACAGTTCCGCCAACCCTAGTATCAGCAGCAGCATTAGCAGCCAAAACAGCACGTGCAGCATCACCGTTCATCTTTGCCGCCGTAGAGGATCAGGTGAGGCTCTGCATACACCAGAGAATGACCAAGCCGCGGCGAAGGCTTCTGGCCAACACACAAGGGCACGCGCCATCTTAGCAACGGTGGGTTGCTGATATTGCTGCCTCCCCTGCTAATGCTGTGACTGTCCCCGACAAGTTGCTGTGATGCTCCATTCGCACAAGCTGCGGTGGTCGGCGATCCCTCTCTGGCGGTGACAGCAACAGCAGCGGTTGCATCCGTGCACAGTGCCGCCCCGAGTTCTGCTTCAGCTGCAGCATTTGCTGCGGTTACACCTTGTGCCGACTCAGAGAGGGCCACAGACAGCAAATCCCCCAATACAAACAACGGCAAATCTAGGGAGAGCAGGGGGGTCACCTCGAGCAGATACAGCTGCAACAGCCAGAGCAACAAAAGCCACTGCACCCGCAGCTAGGAGAACACCCGCATCAACAGAAGCAACACTACCCGACCCTACAACAGCAAGCAGTGACGGCAAGCCATCGCCTCAAAAGCATTTGCCTGTCTGACGTGCAAGAGTTCATGTTCCAAGCCCCTCCGCGGCACACTATCAAGCACAAGCAACGGAAACACGAGCAGCAACAGCAGCAGCACCACGTGCAGTCTTTACTTCATTGTCCGCTAGATCGCCACTAGCCTTCCGGCCGCCGAAAACAGCAACTGCCGAACAACGCCTCTCGGCAGAAACAGAAGCAGCAGCATGGTGCACTCGCCGCTCTGGAGTCACTACACCTGAAGCAGTAGAAGCAGATGCAGCAAATCCCGGGCCCCCAGGAGCATCCGCTAGCTGCAGGCGCCACCACAGCCAACAGCTGCTGCCAGCGGCACACAGGTAAGATATATAACTCTCCAGCCAGTCTCCATCGAGGACGGTTGTTGCTGCTGTAGCTACGAGTCGTTGTCTTTCTGCAGCTGCGGGTAACGACGGAGGAGAGTCTGGCAATAGTGAATAAGGCTGCTGCCTTCTCGCTGCTGCTGACGCCACTGCCTCTTGCAACAGCGTGAAAGGTGTCTGCCGGAGAGAAGCTGCAGCTTCTGCTGCAGTGAATCCCAAAAACGCGTCTCCCGCGACCTCGCTAGTCTCTGCAATCGCAGCAAACAAGCAACGAAGTGCAGCGGCATGGCAAAGTGGAGACCCTGATGCGGCACAGAAGACATGCAGACCGAAGGAAGGCTAGCCATCCGCAGCTCACTTTCTATGACTCTGTGCAGGGCCTCGTCGGGTGATGCTGCTGCTGCTGCTGCGGCGGCAACAGCGCAGCAGCCACCAACCATTATTGGCCTGACTAGCGAGCGCGCCCAATGCACTTCCGTACTACCCACGTAGTTGTTGTGGCTGCTGTCGCTTTCGCTGCTGTATTCCTTCCTCCTGCTGCCGCCACTGCCGTTGTCTGTGCTGCAGTCGACGCGGCTGCCGCTGCGGTTGATGTTGCTGTCACCGCTGCTATTTTCTTGAGACCCTGAAAGAGGCTTGGCGGTGGCATGTAGTTTCTGCTGCTTCTGCTGCTTGTCCTCTTCCCGACTGCATGTTGGCGTTTGCCGCTGCTGTTTCTGTTGTTGCGGCGCCTTCGCCGGCAAATTGAACGGGCTGATTGTATGGCCTACACGGGCCCTGGGTCGGTGTAGCTGCGCGGACTTCGGTCTGTGTTGCGCTTTCGTATTGTCTTCACTATTACTTTGTGCGTGAAATGCCAGGGTACGTATCGCTGCTCCAACCGGGTGGTCCACCGCAACGCAGGCTTCACTACCTGCTGCCCCGGTTTGTGCTGCTGGCATTGTTGCTTCGACCCGTATCCCATCATCTGCGGAAACAGGAGCGGCTGTTGTATGGCCCTTTCCTTCTCCCTCTACAGCTGAGCCACCGAGATCCAAAACTGCCCCCAACTCTCGCTGCTGTTGTTGTTGCTGCTGTCCCCGCCGCTGCATTCTCCACTTCGTCTTCCTCCTGATGTTGCTTGCACCCCTGCTCTCGTTGTTGCCGCCGGAAAGTGCAACATACTCTCAACCTCAGCAGTTCCCACCGCCAAGACTCCCCCCGGTGCTGCGGCTGGTGCCAAGACCGCGGCGGCTGCTGTGGTTGCCTGTGGTGCTGTTGCTTGCTACAGACGCTGCCAATGGCAAAAGTTCAAATGCTTGTGGCTCCTGCCGCTGTTGCAACTCCTGTCCCTGTAAGGCCCACCAGCCTAATACTGCGGCTCACATGCCGCCTCTAGTGCTCCTACTGCTACTCCTGCTGCTCCTTCTGCACGAATAGCGTACGTTTCGTCTTAAATGTAGCAGAAGAGGCCATAATAAATCGTTTTGCTAGGTGTGTTTGGGAATTTGCGACGCGGCAGCAAATGCTTCTGCTGCTGGTTGCAGTTCCCGTTGTTATCGTCGTTATTTATCGATCCCGCTGTACCGCGAACGGTACATAGCAGCAATTACTGCAGCAGGATCAAAAACAAGAAAGGTACGCGTCTTGAGTCTGCTTCTTTTGCTTCCGCTGGCGCCTCCGCTGCCGCCGCCGCCGCTGCTGCTGCTGCCGCTTCGAAAGCAGCAAGGACCCCCCAGGGCATGTCACTCGGAGTGCAATGTGCTGCCTTCTGTTGCGCGTCTTGCCGAGTGTAATGCTTTCTTCTGTCCTCTACAGAACAGCATTTAACTTTTTTAGTTTATTCCTCAACAGAGGAAGCCATAGGGGCAGGAAGACTGGCCTTTCGAGCGAGTGTGCTGCCTCGTCAGCTGCAGCAGCCGCAGCAATCGAGTGAACGCCGAAGCCCAGGGGCAGCTGCAGTATGCCATGGTTACTAGTGGTTGTGCAGCAAGTGCTGCAGTCAATTGTTATGCTTATTTTGATTTTCTGTGCAGCATATAGAAGCTCTTCTCCCCTTCATGCCGTATGGTTTCCGCTGTTGCTACTCGTGGTGTCCTTGGTCTTTTCGTACTATTTATTGAGAGACGCGTCACCCTTCCGGTACGCCGGGCCAATATATGTGCGGAGGTTCCCTCCCAGGACACAGCTACAGCTGGAATACCATCTAAGGAGGGAAAGAAGTAGACACTTGCGGCAACACGAAGAGGAGTTGGTCGAGCGACTGCTGCCTCCGCCTGCAGACGGCAGCACCGTCGGCATAGTTTGCACCTGCGGTTTCTGTGATCCGACACAACGACCCCGCGCATATTCGGCACCGGACTTTGATACACTGGGGCTTCTTAACTTGGTGCGGGGCAGTGACTTTGGGTGCACCCTGCAGAGAGGGAGCGGCGACACCAGCCACGGCAACACGCGGATAGGCCGCCATCACGACAGTATTGGTCAAAGCATTCTCACCAGCAGCACACGACGGAGCAGCCTGGGGAGCAGCAGCAGCAGCAGCTTGCCTGCGTTGGAGAGTTGCTTCGTGTCGCACTCGTGGATAAATGCTGTTATTCGGAAAAAGGAGCGGCGTTGGGCCCGATTCTGCCAACGGTGGCACCTGCGGCAGGAGCTGCTCCGCCAGCAACTCGAACTCCACAAACACCGAGTGCGACAGCACCGGTGGGAACAGGAACATTCGCAGCAGTGGCAACATCGAAGACAGGAGCAGCAGCAACAGCAGATGCAGCAACAGCACCACTGACAGCAGCGCCAACCCCAACGGCAGCACTACCACCAACATCACCAACAGCAACAGCAACAATATCAACGGCATCGCCAGCAGCAGCATCAACAGCAGCAGCATCACCAACAGCAGCAGCGGCAGCACCAACGACAACAACAACAACACGGATTCACCGCATACCTCATCAACGGCGCAGCGGGCACCGGAAGAGCTGCAGAAACGCGCAACGGCGATGCGAGAGGCGGTGAGTATACCATGCATAGGACGGTTGCGTCGAACGTTCATATAACAATCCTCCGTTGAAGTATCTTTTTCGATGGCGTCTGATGCGCCTGCAACTACAGACCGCTCTGCTGCTTCTGCGGCTGCTGCGTATGCGTTGCAGATGGCCACATGTTCGGGCTTGAAGGAGCAGTATGACCGGTGTTTTAACCATTGGTACCGACGACATTTCCTAAGGGTTTGTCTTAACACAATGTGCCTTCTTCTTCCTGCTTGCGTGCTCACTGTTGTTCCGTCTGTCTACATCCGCAGGGTGTCCGCGTGCTACGGGCACCGGGTTTAAGGCGTATTTTAAGTTCCACATGCGAGTCGCCGGCTATCTCCCTATGTCCCTGAGGTGTTTGCCTGCGTGCCTGTGACTTCATTGCTGAGTACTTGTATGTCTCCTGGCGTGTTTACAGCTGTGCTTATCCGCGCTTCACAGGGGCCGTTATTTTCCTTTGCTTTTTGCACGCATCGTTGGTTGCCTGTCGCTCTAAAGTTTTGTGTTCGTTGCTTGTGTCGTTGTGCCCATCTCAACTCTTCCCTTCTTACGGAGTGTGTGTCACGAGTTCTTCTACGTTTCCTCCCGCGCCTTCATGGTTTCCGTTGGCTGTTGTGCTGTTTATTTCTCTTCCTAAGACTTCCTTTCTGCGCTTTTTCGTGGCTGCTCCCCTCCGGTCGTTGCCTCTCTCTCTGTTCGTCTATGTCCTTCCCAGATCACGGAGCTTATCCTTTCCCTGTCATTTACCGTATTTGCAGCTTGCGTCATGCGTCTTGGGTCTTCTTCTGTGTTTTGAGCTCCTCTGTCGTCATAGACCCACTGCATCTGTCCCTCTCTGCTGTCCGTGTGCCTGCCCGCCCCGCCCCCCCTGTCCGTATTTGCGTTTTTTCTTGTCTTGTGGCATGCCGCTTGCTTCTTCTCAGCTGCGAGCATTTTGCCGCGTATTATCTGCCCCATTTGCGTCCTTAACGTTCTTTGCATTTTCCCGTTTGCTACACTACCTCGGATGTATCTTACTTGCTTCCCTGTGCATCTCTTCCCTCACCCTGTTTCGCTCTAATCGCTCTCCTGCGTCTCATGCGGAGAAGGCGGACAGTGATAGCTGCGTGTTGCACATGGCAGCTTGCACCGTCGGCTGTATGGTTGCTTTCGTTTTCGTCTCAGGGTGACATGTCGCGCAACTGCTTCCACCTCTTCGCCGACTACAGACTCTGCATTTCAGACGAGTTGAAACGGAAGGGCCTTGAGTGAAAAGGAGAGGAGGACGCCTGCATCTCTGCTTCTATTGGTTGCCTGTCTCTGTGTGCGTGGTTTCATGTTTCTGGTTCTGTCCCTCTGTTCTCTACGTACCTTCTCTCTGTTCGCGCCCCCCTCACGTGCGTTCGGCTTGCAGAAGTGTGTGGGTGTTAGGGAAACTCGTGTATGGGGGTGGGTGAGGGTAGGTTGTGGGGGTAGGGGGTGGGGGGTGGGGGCGTGCTTTGCTTCGTTGCCTTCCTCCCGTCGCCTGTGCTTGTGAGCATCGTGTGATGTGTGCGTGGTCGCTGCTGCTGTGGTCTTGCCCCTTCGTGCTTCTTTTTCTCACTGTGCCAGCGTTTTGCCTCGTTGCGTCTACGTCTTCTTTCCTGCAGCTCTCCTTCTCCACTTCAGTCGTTGCTTGCCACCTTTTCTCTTTGTATGCTTCTCGCCGTCCGTCATCCCCTCCGCTCATGTACAGCTTACTCTACACCTCACTTATTTTCTCTCGGTATCTCGCCTTCTTTCTCAATTCTTTCGTCTCCGTTTTCTCCGCTCTCTGTCTTTCGCTCCCCTTTTTTAGTGGGTCGATGCTTCTACTTGCTTGCCTGGTTTCTTTGTACGTGGTGCGTGTCTCAGCAGTTGCACTGTCTCGTACTGTCCCGAATATGTGTGTTTAACGCTGTTCATTTTTCCCTCGTTGCGGCGGGCCTCATAGCAACGGCTGACCGCAGATGCAACAGCAAGAGCAGCAGCAGCAGCAACGGCAGGAGGGAGAGCGGTGCGAGCGCGCACGTTTTGAGGGATGCTTATGCGCAGGTTGTTATCTATACCATTTTTTTGCAAAGTGAATCAGAGGAAAATAGATGTAGATGTGTTTTTGCATGAATGTTACATGGTGACTTGCAGCATTAGAGGTGTATTTACGTGACACTTCGTCAGCGGCTCTCCGCAGGACTCGTGAATGTCGTTGGCCTAGAACGTTTTGGCGCTTTTCCCCCACCACGAGCCACGAGCCAGCGAAGGAAAGCCTGGAAGTTTTTATGCACTTCCAGCTGGTGGTTTTCGTCAGAGCCCATGTATGGTTGGTCAAAGCGAGTGGTGTTCCTATATGCACAAGATGCATGCCATCCGAAGTGTTTTGGCGGCGAGAGGTGTGAATAGAGAGGCTGAGTGCACGCACGCGTTCTGGGCGCTCCCCATAGGACGCGTGCGTGCCACAATTAACGCTGTGCTCTTCGTGACGTCAAGACATATGCGTATCGGGCTGGTGCTTCAATACCAGTTCGAGGAGGGGCCGGCACGGGACCGGATTCATTCAGCTTGGCAGCGTGGCTCCTCAAGAGTACATGCATACATCTCCTCATCTACAACGTGCATGTTTTTTATGCGTTTGCGGATGCATAAGAAAGTTTTTTAAGGGAGAGGGTCAGCAAGAAAGGGATCGGATGCGTCTGTACACCCGACGGCGGTTGCCAAGGCAAACAGGCAAGTATACGGATACATGCCTATACTACCTTTCTGGACCGATAGACGGCCGGTGTATATCTGCCAGAGCGGAAAACCTGGATTGGAAGAATGCATAATACGTCTTCCGGTGAGGTATGACACGTTGGCCGAGGGTGTATGCACACCCCGGTATGGTAGTCTGCCTATAGCTTTGCCTCTCCGAAGCTCGTACATGAGCTTTTCCTTGCATGCACACAGGCTAATGAGAGCTATGGGAGTGTGTAACAATTGTCTAGAGTATTCGTGAATGTAGCAGCAACGGGGGCGTGGATACGCTGCCCTATGGGGGTGCCTTACAGCACGAGCTGCAAGGAGGTGCGTAAGCATACCGCCTTCTTTCATCCAGCCGGTCCCAGGCCCATAGGGCTCAGGAAGCCGGCTTTATTGGACTGGAGGGTAAGCCAGACTTTTGGGAACAGCTAAGTATTTTGACACAACTGCATTCTGCAACGGTCGAAGGACAAGGCTGATGTTGTTCGTTACACTGCCATGCATAGTGAGTGCGCGTGTAGCGAGAATGCGTGGTTCTTCTGGCATGATTGCTGACAGGATAGTTGCTAGTAATTTTAGGTGCCAACGGCGGCCCATAAGTCGTTGCACTTGAGGGTGAGGTTCAGTTTTGGGGCAATGGCCTACAGGCCTCTCGATTCATGTAGCAGGGGAGGGGGTACGAAGCTAAATACTAAGAGTACGCGTTCAGCAGTGAGGATTCATGGAACAGGGTTTGGGGTGGGGAATCGCAGTACCGAAAGTCGGTGCTCAGCAGTCGGGACTGTAGACGGAGGCCAGGGCAAGCCTGCACAGAGTGAACAACAGAGGACGTAACACGCACCGCATTTGTAGAAGAGTAACAAATGACATTTTTCGCCCGAAGAAAGAAGATCAAGACAATATATTCATGCCACGAGTGTGAAGGGAAGAAATACACCAGGCGGGAACTTTGGCGAGAGGGTGTGCAGGGAGCTTTCATTTCTAGTTCGCGTATGCACATAAAAGACGATTGGCAGTGTGTTGAGCGATCCTCGTGTGCTTGCAAACGCACAAGAGGGCAGGTTAACATACGGAAGCGACAGCAGCACTGCCTTGCGTTATAGCGTCTATACAGGTGCTCACAGGCTCTGCGGGAGCTTCCACTGTTGTAGTCGACTCTGCAGAAGTCCCCTACGCGGCTGTTGTACAGTAGACGGGGTTGCCAGTAGGAGCGACGACAAGGGTATGTGCAATGCATCAGCAGGCGTATGTATAGTATTTCACTACATGGCCGGGTATCTGTGCGTCGGCGCTGCCTGTGTACCGTTGCATCTCAGGGGAATTCAACCTCAGCGTCCCTAGTATCGAAGACACAAAGTAACTCTTCAGGGTTCTATATACAAGCTCGGGGCAACTGCACCCCATAGTGACCGGACGCCTCGAAAATGAAACCATTCAATTATGCGGAATGCATGAATTCGAGCCTCACACCTGATTCCGTGCATTTCTGTACGTTTCGTTGGATTATTATGCATTTTGTAATAATAATCCGATAAAAAAAACGAACAAACAGGGGCTTCGGCTGTTGACCAAGGCAACAAACGCTACTGCGGCAGTAACGCAACAGAGGAGCAGCGGCGAGTTATTGCGTCGTCGGCGGCGGTCCACGCAGCAGCCCCCGCTTCATGTTGTGTTCAAAAATCGCATTTTTGATCCAAGCGTTAGGATTTATGGTTTAGGAGTTTGATTAAAGGTATCCGGAGATGCCATTCTTCGGGTTCTACTTCGAGCCTGTCCGATGCGCAACTGAGGCGTTGGGCCCCACAGCTGAGAGGCAAACAACAGCATCAACAGCAAGAGCGGCTGGAACATCTGCAACAACAACGACAGAATGGGCATCTTTCCGCCTTCTACGGAGCAGGAGGCCACCTCCTACACCCGACGGTACAGCTGCTACATCAGCAGCGCGTGAGGCCTCCCATGCAGCTGCCCGTGAGGCTGCAGCGGCAGCAGCAGCAAATACAACAGCAGCTGAGCCTGCCTCAGCTGCAGTAGATGCGCAAGCCTCCAAAGTAGCAGCAGAAGCAAGAGCAACGACGGCCGCAGTAGCAGCGCAGGCCGTTGGCTTGGAGCCAGCAGCAACAACTGAACTCAAGGGGAAATACCTCGCCCTCTTCTTTGGAGCTTCTTGGTGCCCGCACTGCCGCACGTTTGCTACGCGTCTTCACCAGGTCTATAGTCAGCTGCAGCACCTTCAAGATCAGCAGCAGCCTCGTTTCGAGGCTGTTTACATCCCTTGCGACCGATCGCCAGTTGAATTTGCTGCATTCGCATACACAATGCCCTGGTATGGTTTTGCGTTCGATACACCCCCGCATTGCTTGATGTGAGGCCTGTGGATGCATGCTTACTGCCGCAGGGTTAGAGTTAAGGGTTTAGGGCTTAGGGTGTGCGCGTAGGCTTTCTTTGCCCTTTGGGGACTACAGTGCACTGATAAGACGATACGGAGTTCGCTCCCTTCCGTCCGTTATCATCATCAGGCCAGATGACCAAGTCCTTCTATGTGAGTCCTAAGCCATAGACCCTTAACTGTACGCCCTAATCTCTAATAAATAATTAGACATAAATAACTCTAAACTCTTGCTCTGTGGCACTGTAGTTTCCCTCTTTGCTTGATAGCAGCAACCGTCTCACAACCGACATTCGCTTGGTTTCTTGCCTGCAAACCCTTAAATCTAAGCCCTAAACCCTAAAGCCCACTGTGTGTCTTCGCTGCGTAGCCGATGCCGTGCCCATAATCAACGACCGCGACGCCGCCCAGAAGTTACAGAACATGTTTGAGCGGTACGAAACCGAAGAGCCGGGCAGCACGTTTACGGCTAAAAGACAGCGCCAAACCCTCCATAACACCATAGCTAAAAACACCCTACTCACCAAACGCTCCTTAGCCCCGTTCTCTATCCAGATTTGTATTGTTCTTCAGGTTCGGCCCATTTGAAAGCAGTTACGACCGATACAAAACACTCTTTGGAATGCAGACCCAGCCTAAACCCTCGAGTACTAAATGGTAATGCCAAGATTTTCCAAAGAGGCAGAAGACTCACCAGGTGCTGAGCTCCGTGGTTATTGTACGTTGTACATTTCGTTGGCTTTAGGGTTACGGGTTTACGGTGTATGGGTTCAGTATCCACCCACACTAGATGTTTTCTGTTATGTCTGGCCCCAAACACCGAACCCTTGGTTTTTTTTACCCCTCATTTTGAACTTCAAAGGCTTCATTATCTGGGTTTGCGATGCACGGGTTAGTGATTCGGGTTTCGGAGCTAGGAAAAGGCTAATGCCTCGGGGACGACATCCCACACCCGTATTTAGGCCATGTGGAAGCTTCATATAGGGCCTCTGTAGGGCCCAAAGAGGCTCCCATGTGGGCCAACCATACGCTGCGTAGCTACCCGTTATGGCCTCACAGCCACCTAAGCTGCTACAGAAGTAAGGCCCATGCGGGCTCACCACCGTACAGAGGTATACATGCTTGAACACTCATTATATATATATATATATATATATATATATATATATATATATATATATATATATATATATATGCATACGTGCTAAAGCCGTAGCTAGTCTCTACAAGAGCTCCTTTTGGGCCAAGTAAAGGATTCATGCTGGCACCACATGAGCCACTGAATGTCGACCGGCTCAGCATGCCGCTTATGTGGGCCCTATGCAGACGCAGTTGGAGTCCCTGTGAGCCCTGGATGGAATCCACAGGGCTTTCCTTGCTAGAAAGGGGCCCACTAGTCACGAGCTCTTTTTGAAGGCTTGTGGAAGGTCTGCATGTCTTTTCCGGAAGGCGGAGACGCTTAGGACCTCTGCTGTGTGGGGAGAGACGTCAAAGGCTCGGAAGTAGGTCAACTCGTACCTGCGCATGGCTCACCGCAGCTCGCAAACACGTCCAAGCACATTAAACCTTTACTTCTGCAGCTTTCCGCCGTCGCTGTTTCAAGTCAATTGCACCGCACAGACACTGCAAGCAGGCCTCCTTGCGCAGCTGCCACGGTGGTGCTGCCACCTACAGCAGCACCTGAAGCAAATCCATACCCAGCTGCAATAAGAGCTTTCGCGTCTCGGAGATATGCAGGCTGCTCGTGGGCAATGTAGACAACACGGGGGATGGCCGCTGCCGCTACCCATCTTCGCACATCCTGCGACGCAACGCACACGGAGAGCGTCACCGCATGCCGTAACTCTTGAATGGGTGTGGCCTACGAATAAGGGAGGGAACGAGGGCGACAACAAAAATAACAATAATAAGAACAACAGCAGCAGTCCCAGTGCTGCAGGTTTGCGTCAAGGTCTTCTCTCTCAAGCAAAGGCTAAGCCCAGCAGAGCGCCCCGTGGGTTTGCTTGCCTTGGGTAGGCCACCACGGGAAGGCGATAGCAGCAGCACGTCAGGAAAATGAGGGGCCCCCGCCACGATGGTGCCTGCAGAAACAAAATAAGCTGAAGAGCATTTTGCAGACAACTCCCGAGGCAGCAGGCTGCTGCGTGTCCACCTATTTACACCAGGCCATGGATGCAATGTTAAATGCAGCCACCAGCAGCTCACCAAACTCTCCCGCCCCTGTTGCCGTTGGGGCTGCTGCTGAAGCAGCATCTGCGCTGTCATCTGTTGCCTCTACCTCATCGGCCATTTCTTCCTTTCGAAGCCGTTGCTTGTTTCTCTCCGCTGCGTTACCTTGCTGCAGGCATTCACGCATGCAACACGTTCACGCGTGAACAAAAAACTAGACAAGATGCATTCAACATAGAGAAGTATTAGCATTATTACGTGTGTTACGGGACCCTTCGCAACCGTCGCGCATGCACAAACCCGGATGAGCATGCACTGCAAATACTGCAAGAATACCTTACACCAAGACCAACATATGTTCTATCTCACCGGCACTTCCTGGCAATTTCTGCTGCCTCTGTTGCAGAGCCCACTGGTAGTGTAACACCTTCAGCTCTCACCTGCAACTGGGGCGAGCGTTGCAGCAACCGTAAAGGTCCGTAAAAGCCAGCGCGGGCGGCAAAAGCACCAGCGACGCAGCTGTGCACACCAACAGTCAGCGCAGGCCCACTGGAGCTCGGAGACACCAAGAGGACTGGCTGCTGGCTGTTCCATCTGCATCTAGCTCCCCACGAGAGCTCTAGAGACTCACCTGCTGTTTGTGCACTGCACAACCTCCCCCCTATATAGCTCATTAAGAGACATGTTCCTTTGGGTTTCCTCCGCGTCGCGGGCCCCAGAGGCGAACACTACCACCTGCAAACCCATACTCAGCATTGCCGTGCCGACCGTTTTGCGGTCTTCTTGTGTTTTCCTTCCTCCTGGTGCTAAAGAATTGCAATATTGAGTTCACGAAGCTGCAGTGCATAACTCCCATCCCAGACACAAGCCATGGCGCCACCACCCTGTACGATGTGTGCAGGTCACCATGGCGCGGTTGCTGTCTGTCTGCCAGATGTTTCCAACTGCACCTGCATTTACCTCTTTAAAGCGGAAAGAGAGCAAAATTTCAAAGAAACCCCCAGAACCCAAGGCACCCCACAGGCGCCCCGTCGCCCCTCCTGCGGCCTCCTCCACCGCTGGCCAAATTTGTTGCAGCGAATCCCCACGGCCAAAAACTGTCTCGCGGGTTCCGCCTGCAGAGAAGATAGAAAAAAACACGACGCATAGATAAAACTAAAGAAGGCACGGATATGCGGACACCGGCACGAACTGTAAGTCCACCGGCAGACACAGTTAAAGGAACGCATACTGAAAATGCACGAGCTACCACTTCCGAGCGCCCTTTCACGCATTCAAACCTGAACTTTAAACCGTCAACTATAGAGCTTAACCTTCCACCGCTGGACTCTAAGAACCAAACAATGCAACGTAAACGCTACGCATCTACGCGTTGAACTCTAAACAATACAATACAGCCACTCATCTTTAGCCTTCTGTCCCTAAATGAGACAAAATCTCAATCTTTAAGGCGAAATTGATGGCAGGGTATGTTCGAAATGCCAGCATGTGTAGTGGAGCAGACCTCACCAGTGATCCGAAATCGTCGGCCAAACACAGAGACGACAAGCGCATCTGCTCCAAAGAGGATCTCATCCGGGGAATGCGGTCTGCAGCGCTCCAGACAGGGGAGTCCCAGTTTCCGCAACAGCAAAAACGACAGCAGCAGCAACAGCAGCAAGTTCGCCAAGCGGGAGAGCAACAGCAATAGCAGCAATCAAAGTAGCCGCACTAGCAGCACCAGAAGCCAGAGCTGGAGTCGGAGTTACCTGCTGACATCGTAGAATGTGACAGCTTTGAGTGCTGGACAGCGTTCACTGAGTGTCTCTGCCAGGTGCACGAGGCGAGGGCGCACGTTACTTTCCAGGTGCCCCTTTAGCCGCAAAAGCACCTTGCCGTCGCCTCCTGGGCAGTCCCCTGCAGTCAAAGAAAGGTCAGAGACTGCTCAAACTGTAGGGATCCTAGGGCATTCGCAGTCGCGGCAAGGCCACTGCCGCGCGAACGAGGGACACACATTCCCACTCTAGAGATCCTCATGGTAGCTGCTGTATTTTTTATGCGCAGATTAGAAACAAACGTGGCGTCTGCTGCTTTGTATATGTCCACTTCAAGAGGAAGTAAATGAAGAAAACGTAAAGTGCATGCAGTTCCTACGCACAGGCCGAGATGCATTCATCCACGTAAGAACAATTCCTACACCCTAATTATGCAGGAGCAGCAGCAGCAAACTGCACATAGCTTGGTGTCCCAGCCACGCCGTGTAGACACCAACAGAAACACTAGCAGCCGCAGCAACAAATTGCTGCCCCCACCTGCTAGTCTGAGTGTGAGGCCACTCAGCGTCCCCGCACCGCACCGGTGGTCCAGTATCCGCAGTCGCCGACTTTCTAAAAGGGGCAAAAGCACCTCCCTCACGCATGTGTACACCTCGCGTACTGCAACGCGCACAATCCACACTAGGAACAGATCCAAAACGTGCGCCAGCACAACCAGCAGCGGATACAAGAGTGACGGAAGCAGTAGCGCGAATCCGTGCAGCATCAGCACCAGAAGCAAATTGCCCTAAGAAGTCATACAAGGGCCTCTCAGGCGAATGCAGTCCTGAACACTAACAATGCTGCTGCTCCCATCAAAGGCTGGAAGGCCTAATCGGGGTCTTCCCTCGACCAGCTGCAGCAGCATGTCCGCCCTGGCAGCAAACCTGAGTTACATAAAGAATCAGGAGCTCACGCAGACGCAGCATGAGCGGAATTTAGATTTTAATGCAGATGTGTGCTGGTATGTGCTGCTGCAACTGCATTGGCAACTGTTCCAATTGTGCCCCTTGCTGTTGTGGTTGTTACTGTTGACGCTGCAGCTGCTGCTTGGGTTAGTGCTGCTGCTGCTGTTGTTGATGCTGCAGCTCTGACGCAGGTGTTGCCGCAACAGCATGTGCTGCTGCTTCAGTCAACAGCGTGTTGCTGACTGCCTGTCCGAAGAGGCTGGGACGAGCGGTGTGACTGTAGGAGGCTCCCAGTGGGCGCGCTGCTGCTGGGAATGCTGCTGCTGATGTAGTTGCTGCTGGCACTGCAGCTCCTGCAGAAGCTGCTGCACCAGCTGTTGCTTGGCTGTACGCTGATGCAGGGAGTCCAAGTGTAGAAACTGGCAGCCGCCGCAGCCTTCAAGGAAATGCGGACACGGAGATGCTCGCTGGCCCGGAGCTGCGCAACCACCCCTGAAACCTTACGTTAAAGCCTTAGTGGATATGACGCTGGTCAGCACTAGAGAACAAGATGAAAACCCCTTAAAGGGGTAAAAGCAAAACACGGGCAGCGTGTCAATGCAACGCCACCAGCAACCGCAACAGAACAAGCATGAACGAAACTACGAAAAACGGCAGCATCTGCATCTTCGGGACAAACAGGAACTGCAACAGTTGTATATCATTATTAGCAGCACTGGCAGCTGCAGCATCAGAACCACCACCATCAGTTGCGGAACCAGCAGCAGCAACACCCAGAACAACACCAGCAGCAGTTAGGCCGACCCATAGTCTCTGTCCCCAGGAATGCTACTTTGCATTTGCCTTTGCGAGGTTGCAGCACCTCGAGGCGGGCGGTGATGGTTTCCTTAGGAAGGAGGCGGGGGAATTTTGCTGTTACTTGGAGGCCCCAGCGCTGCAGCAGCAGCCGCAAGAGACCTTCCCCTGTCCACGTAAGGGTCCCCACCTGTACGTACACTCCATCAGACACACAAAGGCGGAAAAAAGGCGCTCGGAAGCCGACAGATGTACCATGCAGAGACGGGGGGACACAAGCACACATACGAACATGCAGGCAAGAGGTAAAGGCAGAGACACAGAGCAAGATACTGAAAGAGACAAAACGCAGACAGAGACGCAGAGGCAGACAAGGACAAAGAAACTAGGCAGAGCAAGACAGAAACAAAGACACAGAGACGAAGACTAAGAAAGGAGAAACCAACAGACACGGTCTCGAAGGCAGAGACACAGGCGCACTAGCAAACATACAAACACGGAGGGCGAGGGCACTGAAATTGGCTTAGAGACAGAAACAGCAAGGGACGTAGCTCAACACATAAGTGGAGGCAGATACAAGCACAAGAACACGGAGACCGACGGAGATAAAGAAACGGACAAAAATACAGACAACGGCAAGGACAAAAATCAAAGAGAAGGATGCAGACACAAGAGTACGCATACAAAATGAGACAAGGACAAGATATAGGCGTCGGCAATGACGAAGACAATAGCGCAGAGGGAAACTGGCTAAGACAAAGACACAGACGAACACGCGGACAGAAACATCGGTAAAGACAGCAAGATACAGAAAGAGGGAGCCAAAGAGACAGACAGCGAGATAGGCAGAGGCAAAGACAAAGCCACAGCGATGGAGAGAGACAGTTTCAACGGCAGTGCGACAGACAAGCAGAAAGAAGGAANGAAGGAAAAACCGACAAAGCCAAGGAGAAAGACGCAGACACAGAGAACGACACAGGCGACAAGGATAAGTGGAAGCAGAAGTAGATGCGTGGACAGTGCAGCCAAGCGCAGGCGCAAAGAGGAACGAACAGAAAGATGCAACAAGAAGGCTGCGAGAAGCACCCCGACAAAAGTGGGGGCTTCAAGTGTGGAGTGTCACTCCTCCACTTTGGGGAACAGCGCCTTCGGGCACACTGATAGGCGTAAGGGGGCTCCTGCGGTGTGCCTAGGGGCTGCTGGCCTGCCCACAGAGACCCCAACTGCACAAAGAGGGGACTGTGAGATGTTTTGGGCACCCCGCCCTAAACCATAGAGACCGATTAACCTGTCAAGCCCGTACCTTCAAACCTCGCAGGATGTCGCCTTCTTCTGCTGTGTGGACGACGTTTAATGGGCCCATGGAAGACCTGCTGAAGCTGTTGTTTCCTCTGCTGTTGTTCAAGCTTCCGTTGTTGGTGGTATGGCAGTCGCTGCAAAGATTGCTGTCGCTTGTTTTGCTGTTGTCCGTGTTATTGTTGGTGCTGCTGCTGCGTTTGTTACCGTCAACCGCACCAGCATTCACACCTGCAATGGGAAGTCCTGTGTTTACCGACCCTTCGGTCGGTAAGCAAACATGCTGCTGTTGCGTATTGGCAGCAGCATTAGAATTGGCAGGAGCAGTTCCAAACAGGCGGCTACCCTCTGCTGCACGGGGTTTGACTCCTTCTAGGCAATTTTGACCCTTTTCATGAGCTCTGCTCCTTGCATTTCCCGTTATACTCATCAGAAGCGGAGTCTTGCATTCATCGGTGTTGCCTGTGGAACACTCCTCTGAGCCCCGTCCGGATATTCCACGTGCATTCCGAAACACCTCACGGTCCTCTCTATGCACGACTTGTGCCCCTCGATGCAGGTAAGAGGGCCATACGTACGCCCTATGAACCCCTTTATACACTCCTTGAGGAACTTTAGGGACCTGAATGGAACCCAGAACCCTGGGGCCCTTGAGGGCGGCTGAAAATCCCCTACATAGACAAAGTCGTGTCAGAAGAGGTTCCTGCTGCATCTCTCAAGTGAGCATACAGTATATATGCGATTCATAGACTGATGAATTCCAGGCAAGGGCGCCTAATGATGCTGGTGTTCCAGCAACCAACTGACTGTTGTTCGCTGCAACGGCCGACTGTTCCAACAACATTGACGGCAGATCCCCCTTTTCAAACACAACTCGTTGCAGCACCAAGTAGGTCAGTCGCTGCAGGAGCAGGTTTGATGCAGGAATAAGTTGAGCCTCGTAGGCGGGCAGTTTGCAGCTGAAGCGTCTGCGACGGTGCATAAAATGCGGCCCCTTGCCAGCTTCTATAAGAGCAAAAGAGGCAAGCTAGCGGATCATTATTCCGTTTGTATCCCTTAAAATGGTTGAGGAGCTCTACATGCTTTGTGGACTTCATCGATCCACATTACAGACCTGAGGGTACCTCGATACATGTTGGACGCATCGCAGTTATCTGTGTGTATCCGTGGACAACCGCGAAAAGATATTTCGAACGTATTTTTGCATATGTTTATTTCGTTTTATGAAAAAATGGATGGAGCGGACAGGAGTGAGAGCAGTTCAAGGTCGACTGTGGGCCCCTTCCAACCTCCAGATCAAGTAGCCGTTGCTATACATTGTATCACTCCGCAGCGAAAGACAAAATTGTCAAAGGTAGTAATAAGCATATATTCAAACAATCTGTAAAGCCAACGAAAAAAGGAACCATCCAATCGGGGGAATGTTTCTTGAAGGTCGCTAGAAATTGTTGACGGCGACAGGGGACAGGCGTCGAGGCCCCCCAGAAGGCGCTATACAACGGAGTTGAAGCAGGACAGGAGGAAGCAACGAGAGTAACATCGTTGTTTCACATACATTTTGTGGGTTTGCAACGTTTTGAATACTTCGTTTGTGCCAAATATACGGAGGGGCTACGGCAGTTCAGAGGGAATGACTACAACTAGAGCAGCATGGTCTACGGGAAGTGTACGTACACTTATACTCTTGCGCAGGTCGGTTGCGGATGAGCAAGTAAGTGTTCAACGATTGCTTACAGTGTTAGTGTATGAAGCAAAGGGGCGCTTTGACTTGCGCGCAAACACCGAGAAGTTTCTCCCAGTTTGCTCCCCACGAAGCGCCCTGACGCGCAATGGGTTCTTTACGCCAGGCAGTCGCGCTGAGTAGGTGGGGTTCGCAGCAGATTCCTCACCCTCTTAGCCACGCTATTCTACCCAGTGTAAAAAGAATCCTTGACCCTAGCCGTGGACTGTCATGAACTACCATACAGTCAAAATAAATACTTGAGAGAGGAGTTTCCTAAAAAGCATTTACCTGCAGGCCCCACACATTCTGGGCCCGGCCGCCCAAGGGCCTAGGGATGGGGGAGATGAGGTGGCCTGATATGTGTTGCAACTACCCTCGATGCAACTAGCGCACCTCGGTGCAACTAGTGCTACGGCGCAACGCCGCATGCAAGCATACCCAAGCCGTCTGTAGATGAATGAACGACCGTCGTAGGCAGCTGCTGAACGCCAGTTTGGCCCTCATTTTCCAACGTGAAAAAATTATGGATGCATCAAAAAGCTTCTCACGGTCTCACCACAGCTGAGAATGAGGACAACGACCGTTTTCCACCCGGTTTTCTCCACATAAGATTTGCGCAGTGTTGTATAGTGCAAATGCCTCGTCATCTAATTAGTGACATGTATGAATGGATTAAGGGGATTCTTAGTGTCCCTTTCTACTACCTAGGGAAACCACAGCCAAGGGAACAGGTTTGGCAGAATCAGCGGGGAAGGAAGACGCTGTCCCACTCTCCGTCTCTACCGGTGTCTGGCACCCGAGTTAGCAGCCAACCTCGACCCGCCGAGGAGCGTAAATCACAGAGTTTCAACGCATTCATACTGATTGCCGTGCATTACCCAAGAGACAAACGGGAAGTCATGGTAGAGCTGAAGAGGGGACCGGGGGGTCTGATGGTGTAGGGGTATCACGTTTGCTTTGCATGCAAAAGGTCCGCGTTTCCAATCCCCGTCAGTCCAGTACGTTTCTTGGGGACGTTTCGAAAAGTGTTAATACGTACGCTGGCTTTACCTTGCGAGAAATTTGATGGACAATTGGTCGCATTCTTGTCAGCACAAAATCAAGGCCCCAGTGCGCATATGTTTATGCGTGAATTTGTACAAACGCTAATACCTGCCCTGCGTAGTAGTTCTTGATTAAACCCGTCGTTGCCAGAAATTGGGGACAACTGCAGGCGAGAAGATATTGCCCGTCGTATTCTACACGGGTATGAGCATGAAGACACCCGGGCGTATTGTTATAATTATAATCGTGCGTACCTAGAAGGCTTCTCCCCCCTTTTGGGCTCTGGGGACTGGGCACTTGGAATAGAGTCGAAAAGGGGGAAAATACCTTCTAAATACGCAGGTGGCAGTTCATAATGGGGCTGGGCGGGTGGAGTATTCTGTTCCAAGACTCTTCGGTCACCTCACCAGTTGCCACTAACCGTACTCCCTGCCACAGGCCTCCGCAGAGTTGCAATTATTCTTTCCCCTGTAAGCCGCTGCATGCCTGCGGCTATGGGTTAGACCTGACGGAGCTTGTTCTCCTTGGCGTAGCTTGCTGCTACCTCTTCGGAGGGACAAGTAGGCAGAAAAGAGGAGCACGCTCCAACTGCCTGCCTACTGAATGAACCCATGTTTGCTAAACGCTGGTTGGAACACCTAAATACAGACATCATATTGCCATCTAGATCTGAGACGCCACCAAAAAGGCCTCCTGCAGGAAATTAGAGCTCCCTCACTAAATTATAGCTCCAGAAGCTCAGCGAAAACAGTAGGTGTAAAGGTAAGGAAAAGACGCACAATGTCCACACCTCAACATCCAGGGCTCCCCAAAAGGCGAACACCAACTTAGTGCAATAAAAAGAGTCAAGCCATTGTGCTATACAGGCTCCCATGCTCCCACTTTGTACAGGAGAACATGAAAGGCCAAGACGAAGGCCAAAACCGCCAACCGCAATGTCTCTGCATTGCTGTATGGGGCTTCCCTGCGGCAGTGACTTCACTACCACCAACTTCCAACCATGCCGTATCATACAGTTACGTAGCTGCAATATGTTACTGTACCAGCAGCAGCTAGTGCGACTGCCGTCACTCTGTCATCAAATACTGCTACTGCAAAGGTATGCACGCCCATTACGTAACAGGTTTACTGCTCTAGTGCCTCTGACGTTACTACTAGTAAATTCCACGCTCAATACAATCTTGTTTCCAGATGTTTAATGCTGATGCTCGGTACGTTGCACATAGACAACAATATATATACATATATATATATATATATATATATATATATATATATATATATATATATATATATATATCGCAGTAGCGTTTGCTCTTCCTGCCGCGCACAAGCGGCAACACGGGCATGAGCAGTCACTGTTGAAGCCGCCAGCGCATACAGAGCATCCTGAGGAGGGTCCATCAGCAGTAGCAACACCTAGTCGCCAACGTATACTGCAGATGACGAATCTTCACGTTAGCATCACAAGCAAAGCCTGCAGTTGCGACCAATTTGTGCACGAAAGCAGCGCCATATGCAGCACAAGCAGCAGCAGCTGCTGCAGCGGATCGCGCATAAAAAACATCAAAAGAGCAATTGACAGCAGCTGCCGCTGTTGCAAAAGCGTACTGCCCACCACAGGCATCAACAGCACCATGCGCAGGCGCTGGTGCAAAAGCTACATTGCGCATCGGTAGCATCAAGTGTACCATGAGCAGCAGCAGCAGCTCCTACTACTGAATAAGTATGGTGCACATAATACACATCACACGCCTCATCATCAGTGGCTGTAGCTGCCGAGGAAGTATACTGCGCATGAAGAGGATCAGGAGCAGCAAGGGTAGCGCTTCTAGTGCTGCTAAAGTATACTTCGCATCCATAGGATTCTAAAACGTCGTGAGCAGCGTAGGCAACGGGGATTAACTCAGCATACTGCGTTCGCCGTTGATCATCGGCAACACGAGCAACAAGCGGCCTAGCTGAAAGATGCAGGAAGCATGCTTGGGTACCATCCTATGCATCGTGAGCAGCGACGGAAGGCGTTGCAGCTTCTAGCCTACTGCGCGTAAGCAGAGCCGTAAGCGTCATCCTCACTAAAAAAATCCTCCTCACTAGACGAATCCTTAGCTTCGTGAGCAGCAGCACCACGAGGAGCACGTGCAGCAGCACCGCCATGTGCAGCACGTCCGGCAGCAGCAACACTGTCACGAGAAGACGACGTAGCAGATGACCTCTCCTCAGCCAGCGCTTGCGTATCAGAAAGGGCCGTGCAGTGCACAGGCCACTTGCAGATAGGACACGTGTCGCTCTGCTCCAGCCACATGTCTACGCAATTCATGTGGAAAAAGTGCAGACAGGGAAGGAACCGAACCATCCGGCCCTCCACGAACAACTCTAGACATATTGCACACTTGTCTTTATCCCCAATCTCTCGAGTTCCTTCACTGATGCTGTCGCTGCCCCCACTTCTGCTGCTGCCGCCGCTCCTGCTGGTACTGCCGCCGCTGATGGTGCTGTTGCTGCTGGAAGAAACGCCTGCTATGCGAGAGGCCGAAGGCCGGCATTTAAAGGGGAGCGCAGGCAGCTGATCCAGCACGTGGGCGGGGGTTCCCCGTTGCGGGGGCTGCCCCCAAGTAGAAAGATCGCCAAACAGCTGTTGATGGCGTTGGAGCATGAGGAGTACATTCTCGATGGCACTGTTGACCTCTGCAACTGCTGCTTCTGCTTGCACCATGGTGGCTCGAAGTTGATGCCGATGCAGCCGAGGCAGTGCCATCAGATTCGTCTGCCGGCGGGATATCGCCTCGTTGGCCGCCGCCGCAGCAGCAGTAACGCCTGCAACCAGGCTCGGGGGAGGCCTCAGTGCTGCTGTTAGGCGACGCTGCTGATCTGCGAGCTGCTGGCCTGCTAGCTGCTCTTGCATCTGTCCCTGGTGGCGCATCATCTGCACGTGGGGTGGAAGGCCTGACAGCGCATTGCCTGGAGGCATCATGAAATATTGATGCACGTCAAACGGTTCAGGCAAGGTTGGCCTCATGGCTGCCGTGGGAGGTCTCCGTTCTAAAGCTGCCAGAGCTGCACGTGCTGCAACTGAAGCTGCGTCAGCTTGCAGCGGAGAAGGAACAACACGCGTTCCGCCTGTTACCGCATTATCTCGAGGGGCAAGCTCACTCAATGCGGTGCTACCCCGAACAGCCCCAGCAGGACGTACCCCAGCTGATGCTGTTGGATTCCAAGGGGCAAGGTGCGCTCCCATTGTTATCATTTGGCCTCCATGAGCAGCACATGTTGCAGCTGGAGCTGCATTCCCTCGAGGAACAGTGCGCGTTCCGTATGCTGCCGTTTGGCTGTGGGGAGGAATGAACGTCTCCGTTTCCTCTGTGTTACCGGGACTGCTTGCACTTCCATGTGTCACCACTTCTGATACCGAACTGCCTCGAGCAGCCGAAGCACCTGACGCTGCGCGGCGGCTGCGACGGCTGCGTCCTGCGACGCCTTGACCATCCCCGTTTTGTTCGCGCCAGTGAGCGGCTGCTCCGGTCCGTACAAAAACCAGCCCCCGTCGCCGAAGCTGCTGCTGCTGTAGATGCTGTTGCTCATGTCCCTGCTGCTGCATCTGCTGCTGTAGTTGGCGCTGACGCTGGTGCTGCTTCCGGTTACGATGCCCCCCAATCACCGGAAAGCGCGGAAAACTGAAGCCACACAGCTCTGGCTCGTCTTCGCTAGAATCTTCGTCCACGTCTGTTCCCATATCAGGGCCTGCTACTTCTGCTCGGGAATCATTACCTGGCGGCGCACAATGCCGAGCTGAAACTGCTGCTTCTCGGGCTCCAGAGCCAAAAAGGGCTACGCGAAGCGGAAACAGAAACCGCTGTGGGTGCCGTCGTGGAGAAGAACAATCGCGAAGAGAACACTCGAAAGGTCGAGGTCGGGTGTTGCTGTTGTTGCCGCTGCCGTTGCCGTTGCCGTCGCTGCGGTCGTCGTTGCAGCCGTTAAGGTCGCAGGCGTTGATGTTGCAGCCGCAGCTGCTGCTGCAGTTGCAGTTGCTCCCTGCGCTGTCGCTGCCGTGGCTGCTGCCGGCGCTGCCATTGCTGGTGCTGTTCCCCCAGTGAATGACATCCACAGCAGCTGTGTATCCCCCTACACCGGTTGGTGATGCTACCCCAACTGCCACTGCTGGAGCAACGCAGCTGCCAGTGCAGTGGCTCTCGTCACCCTCATCACTATCAAGCTCTATCACGTCCCTGTCACTGCTGCCATGGCTGCTGTAGCAGTATCTGCTGCTGCGGCTTCCGCTGCCGTCGCTGTGTGAGTCACTATCGACCTCGTGGACAGGGCCAAGGGGGAGGCCTCGCGACTCTCGTGGCCTGCGGCCGCTAGTGTGGCCACTCTCGCTGCTGCTACTGCTGCTTTTGTTGCACGTCGGACAGCCGTGCCTTGTCTGTGATCGCAGGATCATGTGGCCGTACCTCGAGTTGCTTCTTCTGCTGCCGCCGTTAACAAGACTCAGCATTCCAATCGCATCATCTTCGACTTCTAAAGCTGACTCAGGGGCTCCAGCGGGACAGAAGCGTTTGTAGCGCTGTGGCGAACTGCCGCTTGCTTTGCTGACTCTCCTGTTGCTACGGCGGCTTCCCAACTCCCTGCGTTGTTGAAGCGGCGAGCTCACCGCAAGCCGGCGGCCTGTGTCACTCCTGCTTCTGATGCTGTTGCTGCCTCTTCCGCAAAGAACGCCATATGGGATTCCCTCCTCAAACGTATACCCAGCTGCATCGGCGGACACTGGTGTTGTCGTTACCGAAGATGTGATTGCTCCTGTGGTTGCGCTACCCTCTGCAGCAGTGACTGCTGCTGCGGCGGTGACTGGTGCTGCGGCGGTGACTGGTGCTGAAGCTGTATTTGTACCTGCGTACGTGTCTGTTGCCTCAGCTCCGTCTGCCGTTACATCTCTAACTGCTGCTTCACCTGCATTCGCTGCTGCTGTTGTACTTGCTGTTGCCGCTGTATATGTCCCTAAAACGGCCACAGTGTCATTCCTTACAGCACCTCCCTCACCTCTTCCTTCCTCTTCCTCCTGCCCGCCGCCATATGACTCTCCTTCCACTTGACCTTCTCGGCGTCCTCCCTCAACTACGTTTTTATCTTCCCCTTCGAGGTCTTGGTCCTCTTCACTTCCTTCTTCCTCCTCCCCCGCTGTGTTGTAGGGCGCGCCATCCATTGGAAGGGAACTGAGGCGCTCACGTCGGAGCAAACGATTCGGAGACTGTGCGGATAGACGCAAGCGGACGGTCCTCTGTTCCCTGTCATGCAGTGCTGTCACGCCCGCCGGCTGCTGCTGCTGTGGCCTCTCCCGCCGTCTACGTCTCCACCACCTCGGGCTCTGCTCCAGCTGCAAGTGTTGATGTCGCTGTTGGAGATGCTGTTGCTGCAACACCAGCTGGTTCTGCAACACCTGCAGCTGCTGCTGCTCCCGCTGTCGCAACTGCTGCTGTTGCCGGCGCCGTACTTGGCACCGTTGCAGCTGCTCGTGTTGAACATGCCGTTGCTGCAAATGCTCCCGCTCCGCATGCTGCTGCTCTGCATCCTGCTGTCCCAGCTGCATCAGTTGCTGCTGTTGCATCTGCCGATGGTTGAGAGGGCCTGATGCGTCCCCCATTTCAAGACGAGAAAAGTATGTTACAGATGCCGCCATATTCATACGCCGATTCTTGTCTAGATCCCCCACGGGCTCCTCTGTTGTCGCCTTCCCTGTTGCCTTCCTCGCCGCCCCCCCTACAGCTCCCGTTGCCCCACTCAAGTCCAGACGGTCGATGCTGCAAAAAAACCACCTCCCTGCTATCCAATCCTTTACATCTAGACTCTGGTCCTTTCATATACACAACAGTGCTTCTACTGAAGCCCCAACCTGCACGAACAACAGCAACGCCGTCAGCCCTTCGGAGCGCCTGGAGGTGCTGACTCGCCTCTGCGGGGAAGGAATATACGCAGGGCAGGGACAAGCCAGCTGCCGAGGCCGTGTCAAATGCACCAGTCTTCAGCATATAAAATAGCAAGCACTACACCTTACAGCTTAGACAAAGAACCAGGGGCTGAATCATACACTCCTCCAAGTGCTTCTACTGCGAGGAAGAGAGCGGAGGCAAGCAAAAACGGGCTCTATAATAAAGTAGTGCCTCAGAAAAGCCAAGTCTAAACGAGATAAAGCAATGCTCTGCGGGCAAACACCCAGGCGTGACCCAACCACACTCTACCGCAACTGCCTTCCGTAACCACACGCCTCCTCAGTGCAAGACGTCGACAGGGAAGAAAGGGCAGTCTAAAAAAGTAGGCAGTGGAGGCGACTTAAAAAAAGCACGCAAACGAATTCTAAGTCAGCAGCTCCAATGTACGTTGTGCTGTGCAGTGCTCCAGATTCAGCGATGGGGATCAAGTTGCCCGAACAGGCGGGTGAGGAGGCTGCAAGCACTGCACGTGAGGACTCCTCGCATTGCACGAGTGCATACACTGTTTCCAGGAAATGTATTTCACGGTTGCTAGATTTATGAACGTCTGATTAATTATAGTGAAATACTTCTCCGCTATGTGAATGCCCCGGCGAAATGTTGGACAGACTTGGCCAGAAGGAACGTCAGAGTCCTCGGGCTGTCGACTGCACTGCTCACCCTCCCGTTCTTGAAGACTCAATCTTTTGCCAGAGTCTACAGTTCGCGATTAAACTGCTATTCCGTTTTAAATCTAGTTATGTATCGTTCCACATGTCTTCTTGATCCCCACAGCTCGAACATTCCGGACTGGTGATGTGCNTATTTATTGCCGATCACCTAAGCGGCACTTCGCACGGTGTCTTCAGCTGAACATTATCGATTTGGAGTTGTGTCTTTCCATAGGGTGTTCTGCGGCATGAGCCCTATGTAGTGCCCTGGCGTTCAGCAGGGCAGGCACGGGCGGGTGAGATCCCCTTTTTTAGGACAAAAACCAAAATCTTCAATGTCTAAAATACACAAAACAGTTTGAATCGAAGTGGTATAGTCCACTACGCCGAGGTGTAGGCACGAACTGTTTGGACGAGACACCCCCCAGGGTTTCATAGAACAGCTAAGACACGTAGGGAAGGTGGCCCCGATATGGCAATACACGTCGGAACGAAATGCGGGATACGTTTTAAATGTCACGACACGGAAGGGTTTCACCTGCACCATGGCAGGCCTCGACGCCTGCACGAGTGCTCGAGTTACTAACTGCTTATTCCTATTATCGAGGTAATACTCGGTGTATCTTGTTCCTAATTAAGAAATGTGAATTTCCATCGAAGGGGGAGAACTGGGAATCTACCGTGAATAATGGAACAACCCAGTGGTTCTGGCCCGGACTACGCCTTCTGTAGGAGTGTAACAAGAGAGCGTCGGGCTCATTCAAGGATATTCACGAGCTTCAATAGAGCCAAAGACTTAAGGTAAGGCTCTCCCCAAAACACCTGACCTTTCTCCCCCGTCTCCAGGTGTCATTGGCGCAGCAACTCAGGGCCTGAGAGAGAGGGCAGCCTGAGATGAGTTGCAGCGCATTTCGCTGCACCTATCGATGCAAGCCAGCCACATTCGTGAGCATAACAAAGCTCCCTTTACTGCATGCTTTGACTCTGTAGACATTTATTGAGCTTTTGTATCTGCTTGCAGGCAGCATATCAAGGCCAAGTTGATGCTGCTGTGCTAACTTCAGGCAGACAATGCTGCACGCGGGGTCTGTGTCTGTATCTTTACTTGCGTGCAGGTTGGCTATGGGTGGCCAAGTCAGTGTTGAGCAATTCTCTACAGTGTTAGGTCATGCAGCAGATTAGGCTTGAATGTGCTTGCCTGCCGGGATGCCGTGAAGCACTAGCTGCAGCTAGGTGCGTTGGAGCACCTGTATATGCATATCAGAAGCCGCGGATTTACGGCTATGGCTTCCAAAAGGTAACTCTAAGCCAAGGGCCTGGGGCATTGGGAGAAGACGCGGCCTGATATGGGTGGCAGCGCATTTCGCTGCAGCGGCTGGCGCAAGGTGACGCCACGTATAAGAATGCCCAAATCCCTTCTGCTGCATGCAGTGACATTATAGACAGTTGCTAAACACTAAGATGGCTCTTCGTAGGCTCCCTGCACGCAAATAGTACATCTGCCAACGCGGGGGATATCATGCTACAAATCCTGCCGAGCGTTTTTCCTTTGTTTAGCACCAGCACACGCCTGTATGCTCTTCCAGACGCCCCAAATGGTGGGTTGACCTACGGGAAACTCCTGCTGCGGTTGCCGCATCTGACCATTAATACGAACTTGGATAGACACATAGTTAACTCTAGGTGTCTCTGCAGCTTTCAGCACATTCATCCCCATCGCTGCGCTGCACTGCGCGTTGCGACAAGGGCGTTTCTGTTGTCGGTTTGTTTGTTCTCCCAGGGCCGTTGCTTGAACTCTCGGTTGCCCAGCTCCTTAGATTTTTTCGTGCGTTTGCAATCTAGCATAGGGCTGCATTACTTGCTGCCGAAGAAGTAGATTGAGCACGTGCGCACTGGTCTGTAGGCGCTGCATTTGCCCCAGGTTAGTATTTTATGCCCCCTTATGGGAGACCCTCACTGTAGTGAATACTCCCTACAATCGCGGCAACAATGCTGTAGCATGAGTTAGCGCAGAACCCTTCCCCTGGTTTTGGCACGTTGCGTGTAAGCGCTTGCAAACGTTCTACAAGTACGTTCAGAGGTAAAGNTACCCAGGCCCTGAGCTCAACGCCCAGGATGCCTAGGGACCGGGGAAGGAGGTCAGATGCTTTTGGGAAAGTCTTGCTTTGAGTCTTCGCCTACATTGCGGCTCGCCCATGGCCAGATAAAGGCCAGAGAACAAGCGTTACAAATGCCGTGCTCGTTGTGATAGGAGTGAGGGTTGTATGAATAGTGGAAGTGTCTGTGAGCGCTTATTGATGTACATTGAATATAACATTGGTAAATGCATTAAACAATCCCTATGGAGTGTCCACTGATGTGATTGTAGGAAAAGCTGGCATGAGCCTTGCTGCAAAAGCTATTGTACCAAGCTACGCCGTCTCCTTTCCCAGCCCTACAGGCCGTAGTGCCTGCTCTACTGGGGTTGAGAGAGAACAATTTAGAGAGAGCACAATTCTCAGAGAGAGAATAAACTGAGAGAAGTCATGTCCTTAACCTTTGTTGGTTTGATACGTTGTTGTTCAGTATGATAGATATTGCTTGCCACATCGCTATACTCAGCTGTCGGGTTCCAGGGGTGCGCTCCGCAGTAGTCCCTAAGAGATACAACCTAGTAATAAGTAAAGCTTACTGCAAATATTTGTACGAAAGAGAAATACTCCAAGTTATCTTGACCAGATCTCAGCGTTGAATGAGGGACGGAGGGTTCTCTCCCACTTCTCATCAGCCTACAGGGCCCGCAGTACCTAGAGTGTTATGGAATCCCATCACCCCATCGTGTGAGGGAACTTGGATCCCTTCTACGCCTCACAATTGTGTTTTTCACCTGCGTCTGTGTTGTTGTTGGGGGCACAAGACGCAGAGCTGCTGGCAGAGACTAGTGCATCTACTGAGCTGAGTGGGATCAAGTTCCGAGGGCCACATGATCCCTAAGGCCCCAAACTCCCCTTAGACTGGCGCTTCTGAAGCACACCCACACTCACTTTAATAACCCCTTTAAAAATATGCTATATTTCCGGCTGATTCCAAACTCGCTTTGTTTCTTCTCAGTTAGAGGCGTGGAAGTAGTACTTTTTTTCCCTTTGAAGGGTAAGTACCCCATCATCTACCCGAGTTGAACACCTTTGCCCTTTAGATCCCGCTCCATCGCTCAGCCAGCTACTGATTGCACCTCTCCTGGAGGCAGTCCTGCTATGAACAATTGATACAGAAATTGCGAATCCCCCTTTAGATTTCTGTTCACCCAGGACTGATACATCTCGGCGCAGCGCTCTATTGACAGCTTCCCTTGTTTAAGTTTTGTTTGTGCTGTCATAACCGGATTCGTTGACAAGCCTGCATATTGGAAAGCCTACATACTCCGGTTACGCTCTGGAAAAGTAGTGCTCTTGCTTAGAGGTAACCATCAACTTCGAGCGCCTCCTTCTAATAAGGAATCTTCCAGCAGCAGACGGAGCTGTGCTGGTGTATTTTGAAGACAAATGCACAGCCGGCGAGAACTATGGAGCGCCTCCACTGCATCTCTATTGCGGATTTCATCGTATTTTCACGATCGGCAAGGGCAGAAGGATTAGTCATGAATTGTTTTAGCGGCAAAGATACTTTGCGTCATATCAAATGCACACATGGTGCTTGTTCCAGTGGTACGAGGTGTCCAGCCATTTGTCGGTTCCCCACCGGAAGGCATATCCTGACCAAATCCTAAGCCCTAAACCCATTCCGAGGTAGGTCTGAAAATAAAAAACTATTTATTTGGAAGCTCCTTTGCTTTTAACCGCCGCTGTGCACCAGGTTGTCCTGCTGTGGCTTTGCGGTTCGTCTCATACGCCCGTCCCGATGGGCCATACGGCGGACTGAAGCGCATAGAGGTTCCTCAGTCCTAGGTGAGGACCGTCGCGAACTGTNCGATGGGCCATACGGCGGACTGAAGCGCATAGAGGTTCCTCAGTCCTAGGTGAGGACCGTCGCGAACTGTAGTAGTGCTCTAACGCTAGGTTTCTGGACAGAAACGAGCTGCAGTGAAAGTAAAAACTTGAAGTAAGAGTTTTCCCAAACCAGCTGACTTCTCTCCTCTCCCCAGCCGTCCTTAGCGTCGAGTTCAAGGCCTGGGTGTTGCGGAGAAGAGGCAGCCTGAAATGGAGCTGCAACGCACCTCGCTGCGGTTGGTGATTCAAGCCAGACTCACGTGTGCACACGCGAAAACTTCAACGAAACTTCCTTTACTTTGTGCTTTATCTCTATATACGCCGATGAAGAGCTTTTATTCACTTGGAGGCAACCTATCAAGGCCAAGTGGATGCGCCTGTGCTAGCTATAGGCGGACTGTAGCATGGTCTATCTGCAGTCAGCCCAGAGGCCTTCACTTGGCCGTGGTAGGTTGGGTGTAAGCAAACGCAAGCGTTATATAAGCACATTCAGAGGTAAAGCATGGAGTAAAGGAATATTAGCTAATGCTTTCTTGTTTGTGCGCATGAGGCTGGCTTGTATGACCAGCCGCAGCGAGGTGCGCTGCATCCACATATCAGACTGTCTCCTCACGGCAACACCCACGCTTTGAGCTCAACACCCAGGACGCCTGATGAAAGGGGAAAGAGGTCGGCAGCTTTGGGAGGACTCTTACTTTAAGCCTTCACCTAGATTGCAGCTCGCCTCGGTGTGTGATTATGGCCAGACAGCAGGCGTTATACAGACCACGCCACAACAGCCAAAATACGGGAATATTGGCCTCCTCAAAAGCAGATGGCCTTCTTTTCAGTCCCCAGGCATCATGGGAACAGCGATATAGGCGCGTGTAGCTGCTGTGGGGGGGAGCCGGCCTAACTAATGTTAACTAATGTTACAAGGCCACCCCACATGGCGGCGCAGCCAAGCACTCTTTGCTGCGTGCACTTACACAATATGGATGTGTTAGTCACTTACTTTACCCTTAATAGCCTGCCTGTTCACAAGTCGAACTACAGATACCGACGCCAGACAGACCATTCTAATGCAGCACCCTCAGGCCCATGCGCCGCTGTGAACAGGACAGCTGGAGACTGGAGGGGGGTTCAGGTGGTTTTCGGGAACACTTCCTTTAAGGATTTGGATACTAGTGCAGGTTATGACTTCTCTCTGCTAAGGCCGAGGATTCTTCTTACGTTACGGTCTACGGTGTGAGTGTTTTGGCGTTAGTGCGCAGCGGAAGAAGCTGTGGAGCCAAGCCTTGCGTGTATGCAGGAAATCCTCCTCTTACTCGCCATATAAATACTAGTCTGTGTATTTTGGCTTTTTTTCTCTTTATAACCACAAGCCTGCTTGTGTGCATGCGGCAAGCCCCCAGGCTCTGCTCGTTGCGCCGCTGTCGGCGGCAGCGGAAGAAGGGGCCCCCCAGCGGCCATAAAAAAGACGGTACAACAGAAAGAAGCCAGAATAATATGCAAAAGAACTCAGTAAAACCCAGACTATGTAATGCAGCACTAGCCCCCAGCTGCGGCTGGAACAGCGCTGGCAACAGAAGCAGCAGCGACGGGAATAAGCTCTTCTACTGCTATTTCTGGGTTCGTGGCCAAAGTTCCTCTCGCCGTGGCTACATCAAAATAGCCCGTCGTCGGAACGGGGTTCGTTAGTTTCTGCTGTATTTTTCACAGCAGTAGGGGGCGCAACAACGGCAAAAACAACAATACATGTCGCCGTGACCCTGTCGAATGATAGTAGCGGCAGCGCTGGCCTTAAGGAGAACAATAGGCATATGCTCACCCGGGCAGCAGCACATTTGGTGAGGCATTAGCAACTGCGTCAGGGGCAGCAGAAGCACCGGCAAAGGCGCAGCAGCGGGGCCAGCCTCGCAGGCCACTCAACGGGGGCGGAGCATGCCAACGGCAGCAACAGCAGGACCCGCATGTACGGCCAATGAAGCGGCAGCTGAGCAACAGTAGCAACTGCAGCAAAAGCAGCAACTGCAGCAAAAGCAGCAGCTGCAGCAAAAGCAGCGGCAGCAGCAACTGCAGCGACCGGAGCAAAAGCGGCAACAGCAGCAAAAGCAGCAGAAGCAACAAAGTCAACAACAATAACATGGATGTCCCGGATCCTTCTCATGGAGGAGGGATGCTTGCATCAGGTGGCGCGGAAGCTGCTGCACCTGTTGTTGCTGCTGGTGCTGCTGAAGAGCAGCAGATCTCAGAGGGGTCTATTTCTCCTAGTCACGGCGGCAGTAGCAGTAGCAGCAGCGTCGTTTCTTCGTACCAGTGCAGCAGCAGCGGTGGCACCAGCAGCGGTGCCAGCGGCGGTGGCATCAGTGGCAGCGGCAACAGCAGCGGCGGCAGCAGCAGCCGAAGCAGCGTTATGTCTTCCCTGCGCAGCAGCGGTAGTAGCAGCGGCAGTAGCAGCGGCAGCGGCAGCAGCAGCAGCAGCAGCAGCGTCGTTTCTTCCATTCGCGGGACGACTATTCATCGTGCCAGCAGCAAGCACCAGCAGCAACAGCAGCAGCAGCGGGCTCCAACTTGCGGAGGGAAGAAGGCCCGGTGTCTCGGCACCAACCAGTGGGTTGCTGCTCTTTTCAAGCCAACGGGGGAGCACAGACTGGCTAAGGTAACATTCGTGAACCTGCGATTATTTCGTTTATGCGGTGTTGTCGTAGTTGCTTTTGCTGGTGATGGTAAATTAGATTGCTCAGCTGCCTCTAGAGGCGGTTCTTGTGTCGCTGCTGCAACAAAACTGCTGCTGCTGCTGCAGCCCTTGAGCCCTGCCACTCGTGCTGCCGCTTCTTCTGCCTTCCCCATTGTTGTCCCGCAGCAACGGGAGTGCGTGTGCATCTTTGTTGCTTCTGATGATGCAGATATTGTCCGTGAGGACCCACGGCGAGACGGGTTCGCATCTGCCAGATGAGGTGATGCAGCCGGGGCTCGCAAGACAACTGAGGAGCAGCAGCAGCAGCGGCAGCACCAGCAGCATCAGCAGCAGTAGTAAGAGCGGCACTAGCAAGTGTACTGGATCCAAGGCTGGGGGTTCTTCCGCTTTCGATTCTGCAAGCAGCAGCAGTAGCAGCAGCGAAGCAGCAGTGCCACCAGCCTGTCCTAGTGCTTATGAATATTACGTGCACTACCGCCTTACCAACAGAAGATTAGACTGTTGGCTGCAGTTTTCTGATTTGCTCCCAGTGAATGCAAGGGGACAAGTCTTACTACCCACGGGGTACGACCAGCAGGCCACCTCACGGCAGGCCACTGGCGTTGCTGGGGCCGCAGGAGCACCTGCAGGGGATGAAGCAGCACAAGATGTGGCACGCGATGGAACATCATCCGACTCTGCCAGGACAGATGAGCACATGCCGAAGCGATTGAAGCTTTCGCACGATGGCGTTGTGCCTTCTGATGCTGCTGCTGCCTCTCCTGCTAGTGCTGCTGCCGTGCCAACCGTTGAGCCATTGGCTGCATCCGCAGCAACAGTAACGCCGGCTGCGGGAGAACGCGAGGGACAGGACGACTCTGCCGCAGCTGCTGCTGCATGGAAACGGCTGGAGCAGGAGAGGAATGCAGAGGCGGAGGAGCTGAAAGCGCTGCTCTTTGACCCTTCACTTGTCTTTTCAGATGTGCGGCTGTTCGAATTGTAGTGTCGGTGCAGCGAAAAATGGAGAAACTGCTTTTATCTGCACAGCTCTACCTATCTATCCGTGCTTGATTTCGTCCGTGTTCATCTGTGTCTTTCTAGCGCCTCCCGTATGGCTGCTATCGGTCTCCTTGGACGTACGAATTTTGTGCTATGCCGAATTCACTTTGTGTATGTACATATTCACACTTTGGAGTTTCACTGCTGTTCGCACAAAGCTGTTGCGCTGGTGAATGGCTTCAGGATGTCAATGTTTATGTAAGAGTCTGCCGCAGTGACCTCAGGCTATCTGCGTATCTCCGGAGCTGCTGGGGATGAAAGCCAATAGCACATATACAGATTAGTGTACCTAGGAACGTATGTGTATTGGAAGGACCGTGCGCAAACTACGAGTTTTTTCTTTATCTGTGTATATTGCATTTGCTGTTTTCCCTGATGCCTATATCTTTTCTCTCTGCCTCCGGGCACTTACCGTTCGTCTTTGCCTCTTCTTTCATGCATGCTCTTCTGCAGCATCAAGAACGGGGACTTCTTGTGTGCTGGTTATATGTCTTGGTTTGTCTCTTGCCTTGTCTGTTCCAACGTGACTCCATAACTGCCTCCTCATTTTCTCAGTCCGCCTTTACAGCCTTTTTGTTTTCCTGCGATTCTCTGTGTCGGTATGCGTTCGCACCAACTGCAGCACGACGACGAGGAGCACGAGGGTATGGACTCAGCGACGTTGGCGGCACACGAAGAGGCGACGCGTGTGAAAACGGTGAACAGGATCTTTTTTGGGGGTCAGGAGATTGACACCTGGTACTTCTCGCCCTATCCGGCGGAGGCGCAGGCCACAGATCTCCACATTTGCGAGTTTTGCCTCGCTTTCTTCCTCAAAGCCTCCGAGCTCCTCACACACTCGCTAAGGTGCACCGTCAGGCACCCTCCAGGCAATGAAATCTACAGAGATGGACAGTGAGTCACTCCCGATCGCAACGTGGCTGCTGTTGTCGCCCTATCTGTGGGAGTGGAGATCCGCAGTTCGCTCACAGGGAGAGGAATAGGCAGTTGACCGTTGTTGCTGCTCCTGCTGTTGCTGCTCACTGGTGCGGATGCGAGCGCACTGAGCGTCTAAGTGCGCAGGAGTTGCAGAGTTCAGAATCTTCATACGAACACGGCTCTTCGCTTCTGGTGCCGCCGTTGCTGGTCATTTTGATGGAGCAGCTGTTGTCTTTCCTATCTCCACAAGTGTCGCTGTTTCCGCATATTTCATTGATGCATTTTTCATTTTTCTTTTTTGCTTTCCCTACTGCAGTTTGTCCATGTTCGAAGTCGACGGCAAGGCAGCGCGAGTGTACAGCGTGGGCGCTCTTTTCCCGACGCCAGCAGCACAAGACCCAGCACCTCAGCAAGAGGACCAGCAGCAGCCACCGCAACAATAGGGAGTGCAGGAGCAGAAGCGCAGAACGTAGCATGCTGCTGTGCGCATTTTGTACAGGAGAACCTCTGCTTTTTGGCGAAACTGTTCCTGGACCACAAGACGCTTCAGTTTGACGTCGAGCCGTTCCTGTTCTACGTCCTTACAGAGGTTTGCTACTGCTGCGGCTTCAGTTTGTTGCTTGTCCACTTGGATGCTGGCTCTCTTGTCGTTGCTGTTGCTTCCACCTCACGTTGATGCTGAAATTCCAGCGCCTGTTGTGGGCCTTGCTGCCGGCATACAGGCAGTCAGGGATTTCGGGGTGCTGCTGCTGTTCCGCCGTATACTGCAAACTTTTGTGCTGCTGCGGACCTTGAGGATCTCTTGTTCATGTTGCAGCAGCCCAATGGCTGTACCGGTATGCGATGCGATTCCCTGTACCTTCTCAGGTCGACGCGGGGGGAGCTCATCTCATCGGATACTTTTCAAAGGTAGCTAGTGTTAGGCCTCTCGATGCTTCTGCTGCTTTGTGAAGTGCTGATGTTGGCGCAGCTTGTAACTCCAAGTGCCTGCAGACTTAAAACCTGCAGTGTCTGAGGGTTACAATAATTCAGGCTTAGTAGCGCAAGGCTGCAGCTGAAGAACAGCAACAGCAGCTGCTGCAGCAGCAATAGCAGTAGTAGTCGCGGGAGAAGGCACAACAGCTGCTCGGGTTTGATAAGTCGTTTTCTGTTGCAGGAAAAGGTGTCTCTACAGGGATACAATCTCGCCTGGTGAGGCAATTGTTGGTTCCGGTGCAGTTGCTGTTGCTGCTGCTCATACAGTTGCTGCTGCTACTGTTGATGGTATCGCTGTTATCGCTGGTACTGTGGCGATAGCTTTCACAAACATTTTGCAGTGGCCGCAGTTGTCTGGGGCTGAGTGTCTATCTTTTCATCGTGGCAGCAGGAGCGCCACAAGCACCGGCAATTGTAGGAGATGAAACAGCAACACCAGTAGCAGCGCCGTTCCGGTCTGGTGCAGGGACACCAAAAGTATCAGTAGCAGCAGTGAACGTTGCACTAAAAGCACTAAGTATAGTGACAGCAGCAACAAGAGTGTTTTTCGTGTGCCGCCTGTCCCTTCAGCATTCTGACTCTCCCACAGCACCAGCGCAAAGGCTACGGACGTTTCTTGATATCATTTAGCTATGTACTCTCTCTGAAGGAAAATAAACGCGGGGGACCTGAACGGCCCCTCTCTGACTTGGGTCGCCTCAGTTACATCGGCTGGTGGAGTTGGCGGCTTCTGAACCTCCTCTCAGAGCCACAGTGGATGGCCAAGAAACGCGTTTCCATACACGTACGCAACCTGTTACTGCTGCTGCTGCTTTTGCTGGTGCGACCGCTGCTTGCACTGCTGCTGTTGGTTTGAGTCATCATGCTGCTGTGGTTTTTCCCGCTGCTGTTGGTAAGGCTGTTTTCCGGTGCAGCAAATTTTGCTTTGTTTGCGGCAGTCGCTGATGCTGCTGGTTGCTCTTCTGGAGTTGATACTGCCAGCGTTTTGTCTAGATATAGTGCCTTCCGCTGTTACTGTTACAGTGCGCTTTGCGGCTGTTTGTTTGCTGTTGCTGAGACGGTAGGGCTCCCCGCCAAACCGGCCTTGCGAACTACATATGGCCGTTCTCCGCTATCTCTTCCTTCGCTGCCTATCTCTCCACATGTGCTACTCATCTATCTGCTCTGCTACTTCGCTTTCCCCCATGTGCCTTTCGTATTGTTCTAGTGTGTGCTTTTGCTATTCTTCATGCCCTTGGAGCTTTTTATTTGTCTCCGTTTTCCCCCCTCCGGTTTCAGCTTTTTCCTTTTTGATGTCGCTATTCATTCATGCGTATGTCCTCGTTCGTCTCTGTCGCCTAATTTGGCTGTTTCGGTGGCTCTGCTTGTGTCTTCTAATGCTTTAGGAGTTGGTGCGCGCTACAGCCATCCGCCCTGAGGACATTCAGAGGACCCTTGAAGAAATTGGCGTCCTTAGGTGACCTTCCTGCTGCTGTGCTGTTGCAGTTTCTATGTTGGTGCTGTGCTGTTGCTGTTGCTGTGTTGATGCTTACACTGTTCTCTATGCTGCTTCTACCGTCGAATTTAGGTTTCTGCCTGATACACCGGTCGTCAAGACATGTTGCAGCTGGTGCTGCTGCTGTTATCGTGAAAGTAATGTTGGTGGTGCTGCCGCCACGGCCTCGAGGCTGCTGCTGGCATCTTGAAGGTGCTTGTTGGCGCTGCCACGCAAATGCTTGCCCTTGCTCTTGAGGCTTCGTGGATGGCCCCTTGCGTTAGTATTAATGCAGCACCTGCTAGTGCGTCTGCTGTTGCAGGTATCTTCAGGGTCACCATGTCTTGTTGCTGCATCCTGACTTGATTAAATGTCGCCTACAGTGAGTGGTGCTTTAGCAGTATCCCTACGGTCTATAGGCTCGACTCTGCAGATGCGCACTATGAACTTGCTGTTGCTGCATGCACGAAGTAGTGCAAACACTGCGTCGGGGCGTGACGAGTTGGGTTGCTGCGTTTTACATTCATTCTAGCTGATGCTGCGGCTGTCTCTGTTGTTGCATGTGCTGCTGCTGTTACTGTCCCCACAGAGAGGCAGGCTCTGGAGGGGTGCCTGTACACCCGGAAAAGCTCCACTTTTCTCCTTATCACCAAGGTCCTCCTCAGCCGAACGAAATGATGCCTCCTGCTGTAGCAGACGAGGACTAGAATGGCCGAAATACTGCCGATCCTGTTGAGGTTTTTGTGGTTTGGGGGATGGCACCAAGAGGATAGGCGACTGCTGGCTCGCTCGTGACATTACTATAACTCAAGCCTCCAGTTATTTGCACTGTAATTTCACAGCATCTTGCTCCGCCGGCGACCTTACAAGGCTCGCCTCGTACCTCTTACTTGCCGTTTCATGCTCAGCATACAGAGGAGCAAAAATAGTGGCGCCAGAAGGGGATGGAGACACCCATTCTGTCAATTTACTTTTGGTTGTGGTTAAACGCTTTTCTATCTCAGAACGAAACTGAACGAGCTTTGACTTACACGGTTGTTCGTGGGAGGTGTTTTTTCTGATACTCGGTTTGCTGCTCTCTTGTTGACGCTTTTAGTCACAGCCTCTGCTTGTGCTTTCGTTCATACAGATGCCTGAGTATTCCACGCAGGCAGGCATTCAACGCACACCAACAACTCTGGATTGGCAAATCATATTGCTCAAGTATGTGGTTATGGCTTCAGTAGGATCTGCAGTAGCTGAAGCAGCAGGATCTTCAGCAGTATCGGGCAGTAATACCGCCAGAATGGCTTGGTTATGCACGCACTTGGAATTGCGTTGTAGCAAAAGGTTGCAGCAACGCGCGTTACGACTAGTCCCAGACAGCTACCTCTCCTCACGGCCCCGGGCCCGTGGATCACCGGTCACAGGCGTTTTGGTGGCTGGAGAAGAGGTCAGCTGCTTTTTGGAAACGCTTATCTTAAATATTTTGACACCTCCAGCTCATGTCTCTCCTTGGATAAGATGGAGGACCCTCATTACAATTTGACTCGAAAATAAATAGAAAACGGTCCTACCCAACGCCCGGCGAACTTCTTTGGCTGTTCGTCCATCTGCGCGCTTCGGGCGTCCGGTTTCACTAGAACCAGGACCTGGAAACACGCTCCACAGGTGCGTTGATCCTACCATGGCCCACTGAAGCATGGTAGTCTATTTTCCGCGAAATTCCTGCTCAAGGCGAAGCTGGAACGTATAGTCTGCAGTTTCCCCGCCTTCTCTGGTACCACAGGACGTCGGCGTCGATGGCGTGGCGCTTGCGCCCGTCGTCCATTGTTTAGCTTAGCGAGAACCGCAGTCCCACGAGTATTTGGAGGGTAAGAAGAACTCAATTTGGAAAGAAAATGAGAACCGTCACACACAAACGGAGTCGGAGTTGGAGAACAGTGTGCCTGGACTGTAGGCAGCCGGGAGAGTGCGTTAGCGGCAATGTGTGTGGTATCCTCGACATTGTTGACCCTGAACTCGTACTTATGAGCCCGGATAGCCACCGAAAAGCCGCTTCGCCACCGTAATCTTGAAAAACTTTTGTTAGGCGTGTCAGGGATTGATTGCTGGTTTGGAGAGTAAAGTACCTGCTATACAGGCGATATCCAAACGTTTTGGCCATCCACCACATCGTATAGAGCTCCTTCTCACGAGCGGGATTCTTCTGCTAACTTTGCCTGAAACAATGTGAATAGCAGGCGATTATTTTGTGCGTTTTTGATTGTTCGTTTGCTGACATAAAATCACCTAAACTGCTGTCTAGCTGGCACCTGTTGTTAGGAAGAGGGTTTGTCAAAATCAGGAAGTGCGAATACTGGGGACGATCGCAGGTGCCTGATGAGGCTTCTACTGGCTTCATCTTTATTTTCTGCCCAAATGAGCTGCTTTTCCTTCTTAAGTAGCTCAGTTAGAGGGGCAGCAATTGGAGCAAATCCGGATGTGACGTTGCGGTAGTGTGAAGCGAGGCACACGAACTTCTGAAGCTCCGTGCGACTGTACCGAGACGTCTGAAGGGTCTCATTCTTCGGCAGATCCGATTCGACCTCTGCTGTGGAGATACGGCTCCCAATAAGCTAATTGTTTGCATGAAAAACGAGAACTTTGGAGCGTTCACAAACCACTGTTTCTTGCGTAACAGTTACAGGACTCGCTGCAAGTTCTGCTGCTCCCGCATACTGCGGCTGAACCAACCAGCATCATCCATATATATAACCGTCCTTCCCTCATTGCTTGTCCCCGAGAAATCGTTATTTAATGTGTCTCGGAAGTTTGGGGGGAGCATTGATGTGCGAACACTGCAAGCTAGAGTACGGGTGTACTCTAGTTTGCGAGCGCGGGTATGGAACTCTGTCGTGCGTCTCTCGTCGAGAAGAATTGGGGTCTGCATTCATTGACTTCGCCAACGCGAAGTCGAGGAAAGAATTGACTGCTGGACGCTGCAGTTGATCGGGACGTCCGTCGATTCGGGGCATAGGGAGCTGCTGTTTCACCGTGATGCTGTTGAGCTGCTAGTATGAGAAACTCCCCTACAGCAAGCCAGGTAGGGAGAATTCGGGGCCCTACGAATCATATTGCTCTCGGACCCTGATGCCACTCTCGTCAAGTGGTGCACCAAACAATATCCGGAGCCCTGCGTCTTGTGCCCCCAACGTCGACGCAAAAGCAGACAACCCAACTGTGAGAACTAGTAGGGATCCGAGTTCTATCACACGGTCGGGTGTTGTGAATCCGTAACAGTAGAGGTAATGCGGGCCCAGGAAGCTGATAATGTGTGGGATGAGCCCTCAGCCCCTCACATGGTATGCCGGGATTTGTTCACGACATTAAAGAATATTACAATTTAGTGTAATCTTTTCAATAAACACGACATATTAATGGGCAGTTCCTCTGAAAGACTACTGTGGGGTGCATCGTTCAAATCCCACTGCTGATTATAACTGCAGACATTGTTTGGTGAACCGGTTGACGAGAGCGGAATCGAGCGCCGAGGGCCCTATGATCCCTAATGCCCCAGACTCCCCTTAGCTGGCTTGCTGCAGGGGCGTTTCGCACACTGAGCTTGCAGCGAGTACCCTGCCCGCTGCTAGCTCTTTGTTACCCAGCGCATCCGATAACTCTTCCTCCATTTGGGCCCGCTTCTGGTGTTCCTTATGTGTTGTTTCGACCGATTTCCCCGAAACCTTGGCTTTCACAGGACAATTACGACGGAATCCATGCACTTTTCCGTTGTTCCCTGCAGTACCTCTGCACTGCACAGGAGCGTCATCGCTCCTCTGCCCTTGCGATATCGTTTGCACTCCTCTGATCGAAGAGGATACTTATACCGTTGGATGAGCGGAGAAATGCACACTTTCAGCAGTTCTTGGCACATACACCTCATCAGTGTTGTCAGGGGGGCGCATGTGGGTCCTTCACTAGGCCACTCAAGGCAGGCGTAGGATTACGTCGTGGTGGACTGGTCCAACATAAAAGCCCCGTACCACGGTAATATGCCACACTTCAGGCTTGAAGTCTTATTTCACGCCCATAGTTTTGACGATTCTCCTTCCTCCCTTCCGTCCCCGAAACATAGCCCTAGAGAATCTGCCAACGAGTAGACTGCTAGGTTGCACTTCCTTGCTGCTGCCGATATCAGGTCCCCTTCATATCCTGTATCAGCGAGCGCTAGCGACTTCAGGCTATTGATAAGAATTTGTATATACACAGGGTTGGCTCGAGGCGAGTTGCTGGTTCTCTTGTTACTGTGCTGCACATAGTGTCTCGAGTGTTCCCCTTGTCATTTCGTTTGGTTATCGGGCGGCACTGTTCAAGGCCTGGCTTCTCCAGTTCCTTTACCTTTTTCTTGCGCTTGCAATCCCAAATTATGTGACCTTCCTTGTTGAACAAGAAATAGATACGCCGCTTGGTTCGTCCTTCTTCCTTTCTGGGCGTTTAATCTGCTGGATGCAGTTGGTTACCGCTCCTAATCCCCCTTTGGGCTGGTCTGGTATTCACACTTCCAGCAACCTTAGGCTCCAAATATGGATTGTTTCTGAATCCGCTTTCTTCCTTTTCAGCCAGAGCTGCAGACGTGGTGTAGAGCTGCAGATGGGGTGTTTTATCTTTCTTTTCTGCGAAGGTAAACCAATAGCGATATCCACCCTCTGACTCTTCGTTTCCCTGTCCGTGCTCCAGCTGGTTACCGCTTGCATCTCCCCGGGAGACAGCCCGGCTATACACCAATTAAAGAGAAACCTTGAGTCCACCATAGGAATTCTGTTCACCAACGAAAGATACTTCGCGTTGTAGCGCTCACCGGCGGCTTGCCTTGCGTAAGTTTTCTCAGTTCCGCCATAGCCGGCTGCGTTGGAGACCGGCAAATTAACGTGCACTTCAGCGTATGTCGGAAGGCTTGCATGGACTTGATGTGCTCCGTGAAACCAGAACCTCTGCCTAGATGCAGGCACCATCTCCCTGCGTCGCCTGCTAATAAGGAAGAGGCCAATAGACTTCGCGAGACGAAGGTATGGGTCGATGCCACCAAGGAACTCCTCAACTGCCTCTGCATCGAGGCGAATGTCACAGCTGATTGCTCGGAAAAGACGGAGGCACTCTTCCTGAATTCTCCTGAATTCTCATTTGTGGAAAAGCATTTTTTACCGGATTGGACGCCAAAATGGAACGTGCTTCCTTCGAGGATGCATGGGATTTGACAAGGATCCTGGGGAACTTTTGATTTTTATATTTCCTTATTTCTCCCCCCTTCGGGCGAATTGTGCTACGAAGTATGCCTGCCTAATTGAGTTAGGGGTTGAGCACTTGCAACTGCCCCGATGAGCCATGTAGTGCGAGCAAGTGTAACGCGAGATCCTCGGGGTCATTCAAGGATATTGACAAGCTGGAATGAAGCCGCAGACTTAGGGTAAGAATCCCCCCAAAGCAGCTGCCCTCTCTCTCCAGTCTTCAGGTGTCCTTTCGGCGGCAACTCTCGGCCTGAGACTGCGAGGGAGGCGGCAGCGGGAGCCGAGTTTACCGCACGTCGCAGCTAGTCATGCACGCCGGCCTCACTTGTGAGCACGACGAACCCTTTACTGCAAGCTTTATCTCTGTAGGCGCTTTTAGAGAATTTGTATTTGCTTGCAGGCGGCATACGAAGACCAACCAAATGTTCCTTGTGCTGGCAAAAGGAAGAAAATGCTATATCGTGCATGAAGCAGGGAAACCGTGTAACCATTCTTCAACTGGCTCTGTTTTATTGATCAATCTGCTTTGCATTAGGGCAACCCATAGAAACGACCTTCAAATTGAGGACTAGAGACGCCAGGACAGTTGGAGCCTGTACGCTCTATTGCTCATGTGTGGATGCTCCCGAGTCACCGCAGGTACACTAAAGGGAACAAACTCCTTAAGAAAGACAGGCTTAAAGCCATTAATATGGAAGTCTTCCACACTATTTTTGACACTGCGTAGCTTTCCATTCAATGAATTCGGGTCGGACGGGAGTAGGGCTTCGGTTGCTGGCCCACAACAAGGTCGGCGGCCCTTCTGACAGTCCTCAGTTGGGGCTCGCGATATGCATAAGTAGCGGGTCAAACATTGAACTGGCCCTTAATAGTCGTTTATTTATTGCCAGGGAGTTCGTAAAACTTGGTTGTGGCCTGGTAAGGGCCATAAGGCATTAGAAGGCGCTGTCTCCACCTGTCTCGGGCGAACTTATGGAGGCCTGGGATGAATGAAACAGGTCCAAACCTTTTTTTCTCTCATTGATCCTTATAAATTGCATACAAAGATGATGTTCTGCACGGCTATACCCTTTCTTGGTGCCTTGCTGGCGGGCGCAAGGGACGGCGCCGCACTAGCTCTGCCTCAGGACACCGATGATCTTAACAGGAACGAAGTCCCAGCTGAAGGAGGCCATGCCATTCCTCTGCATTATGAGGAAGCTAGTAGAATTAGGAGGGGCTTGCACAGACATCCCTGGGAACTCATCTTTCCCGGTCGTTCAACTATCATGATATTGGCGTTGCTCGTTGTCGCGTTCTTGATGGCGAGATGTTTTCAGCAGCTGAAAGCAGCAGACGCTGCCAATACCACGCCGAGGAATCTCGCAGTGGGAGGAGAGCCAAGTGAATCAAGCGACGACGAATGCAAGGTGAGTACCCAGCTTAAGACCGGGGTGTCAGACTCGGCACCCAGCGGCGGACGTGCGTTGTTTGAGTGGCAGTTCAAACAACGCATGACCGCCCGTGTCGCCGGTACTGCAAACTGTGGGCTATGACATTCGCAGCTAGGTAATACATGCCGTGCAGCTGAGCGGCTTCTTTCAGAGCGGACTGCCTCTATGTTCGGCAAGACATCCACTTCAAATACTTTACCGCATGCAACTCTAAAGATGCAGGGTGAACATGCCCCACTAGCCCGTCATTTTCTCCTTTTCTCGACATGGGTCTCATCAAGACATTGCTGTGGTGTGTGTATTCCGGTTGGGTATGTGTGCCATGAGAGAGCGCACTTTGATCGACAGCAGGCTTACCTCGCGCAGTTTATACTACTGCAATACAGGATACGCCTGGGCTCATGGTATCCACGTTAAGCAGCGCTGGAGGGCCGCGTAACCCCAAGCTGTGCGCCTGCTGGATACGCTCTCGCTATGTAGCAAAATGGCTCTGGATGTTTGTAAAAGGCGTTGATCATCTGCGCGTACGAAATGAGCCAAGTGGGGGTTTAGTGCATTCTTCTTAGTTTTTGAGAACTGTGCGCAACAGCAAGTTTATGCTTGTAATCAGCGCTGGGGAATCTGGTTCCTATTTGCTCATGAGAATGTCTTCGTGACCGGTTGCTGCGCAAACACGAGTATAGACTTCTCGTTCTATATTGTCGGTGCAAGCCCCCTCGCATTATTTTCCTGTGCTAGGTCAGGACCAGGGTGATTGCTAGACTCTGTTTCCATATTTGGGCGTGGTCGGTCCACCCAGGCGGCATTCTTTGTTTTGAAGGGTACCAGCAAGTGCGTGTAGTTCTTCGGAAACATTGTCGCGGCGTTGTGTCACTCCTGGAGTACTAAGGGTCTCTGGTTGGTGGTGTCCGATCTTACGCGTTGTGGCTTTGTGTTCGAAGTGGCTGTAGATGCATGGATAAACAGCGAGTTCATAAGGGACACGAGAACAGGCCATGACCTTACGCCCGCCGGTTGCCTGCACTTGCAGACTTTGCACCCGTGCTTCGAAACTTATTCACCGGTTTTTGCATACAGTGCTTGTCGCCGTGCTGTTGTATACAACTAGTTAGGCCAGGCCTCAGCGTCCACACTCGTTGAGATTCCGAAACGCCAGCAGGTATATTACCCGGCGCAGTCAATTGACTGTCGTGGGCGCATCAACGAAGTACCGGATTCTTCGCCGTCTGCGCTTTTGTCGGAGGGGCGGTGGTCGTCGCTGCACCGCTGATTTCAGCAGAAGCTGCTCTACGGACTTGAACAACAAACGTTGGCGCCCTTTGTCACTGCGTTGGTTATATCACTTGCTGCCTCACATCGTGAGTCGCTCGGATGCAGCGGGGGTATCACTATTGAGAACTTTTATTCGTTGGCAAATTGAAGTATCTGTAGGTGGTTTGGTGAGCGGTGAGCATATTTGTACGCTTGGATAGGTTTCCTTTTTGCTGTTTCACGGATTGAAGGACTGTTCCTGTCCGTCGTCCCGTCTGTAGTGTCGCAACCCAGGCGTCCACTTTTACACCCACCCAGCTGAAACGGGCTACGATAGTTAGTATCGTACGCCGTTTCACCCGAGCGGTTGTAAGAATTGATGCCTGATATTCTATCGCCGACGTTTGCTGGAGAAGGGTTACTGACGAGGATTACAGGAACTACTGGACGAAGATATACACCTTGAAGGGACGCGATAGTCACTTCCATCCTTCGCCACAGCAAACTTTGTGCCACCTTAGTTTTGTGAATGATTCTTCTGATGATGCAGGGCGGATTACTTTCTTTTTTGTGTGGCGCTGATGCAGATGAGTGGCTCTGAATTCGGCATGCCTGCGTTTGGATCGGGGCAAGCTTTTAGCACTCCAGGTGCTGCACTTTCTTACGAGCAATGTAAAATTTGTCGGTTGCACGCGTTGTTAAGGCGTTATCAGAAACTTCCCTGTACCGTGCACGGGGCGGTGGTTTTCGATTCCTTTTCAGCTATGCTGCCACGCCATTTTCGGGAAGAATATGCGTATTCGATACGTTCTTATTATTCTGGAGCAGTTCTTATTATTCTGGAGCAGTGTTGAAGGGAGCAATCTGGACACACGGTGTGCCTCCCAAGTGGACCTTTGAAAGTTACTTGTTGGTTTATGATGAGCACTGAACAGGAATGCAGGCCTCTCCACACGGCGGCAGCCCACGCTCCCCTTCATGCGTCCTTTTGCGTAAGTAAATGTCACGCACTGCATAGAGCGTGCGTCAGTATCATGCGGAGAAGAGGCGTCGTTGAGCAACCTCGTATGCAGTCTCGCGACTGTGTTGCGTGCGCTGCTGCTTATCTGTACAAAGTTCTGACAGTGCACTATTGTGTCAAGCTGAACGATGTTGGGCGCTGCGTCCATGTGCGTGTTTGGCGATATGCGTTGCAAGTGGTTTCTAACGGGAGGTTTGTGCACTTCCAGTGCAGCTGCGCTGGGCAGTCGTTCG